TAGCGATCGCGGCCGCCGCCACCTGGGAGGGGGACACAGCACGGGAGGGGCAGAATGGGGGTGAGTGGGCTGGACCGCTCCCATGGCCCTGTGGAGGTGCAGGAGCGGGGCGGGAGTGTAGGTTTGGTGGTCGGGCTGTAGAGGTAGGGCCTGGTAAGGGTTCAACGGGATGTGAGGTAGGGAGGGGCTCTTGGTGGGGGAGGGAGGGAGGGGGGAGTACGTGGGCTGACCCTCTGCCCCTGTTCTTCCGCCGGCGGCCAACCTGGTTGTCTGCGCCTGTTTGTGAAGGAAGGGGGGGCTGTGGGGCCAAAGGGGTGGGTGGAGGGAGGATGGGTGGTTCGCCAGGCGGGGGGTGCTCTGTGTGCATCCCCTCTCTCCTCGAAACATCCCCCTCCATGGGAACAGATCGGGCAAGCTGTGTGTGGGGGGTGATGGCTGCCCAACGGGGCCACTCGTGGGGAACCCGGCCGGGAGAGGGGGTTGGAGGTGGGGGTCGAGGGGCTGGGCCAGTGTGGAGGTTAGAGCGAGGTACAAACGGTGGGGGGAGAGAGATTTGTGTGGGCTCTGTGGTGGCCTCTCCTGTGGGCCCCTCTACCCGGGTGCCGCCGCTCCCATGAGCCTGGGGCGCAAGCCCTTGCGGGTGGGTCTCGGCTGCCTGGGGGGGGTGGTGTGGGGAGGGCAGCCTGTTGGGTGGGCGTGTTGGGGCTGTGCGGCGACTCGGGTGGTTTGGGTGCCTGTAGCGTGTGGGAGAGGGATTTGGCCGCAGAGATGCTTCAACCTCCGAGATGTGTGTACTACCGGGTGGGGGGGGGCCTGGTGGAGGAGGGGGTAGTGGGCCGGTAGGGGGTGGCTGGGTGTTGGTAGGAGTCGGGGAGCATGGCTCCTCTAGGAAGACCAGAGCCCTGGCTGCTCCACGTGGTGCTCTAAGGAGCCCCTGAGGGTGGGGGCAGAGGTGTGCTGCCCTTGGGGGTGAAGGAAGGAGTGAGGGAAGGGGCGGGGAGGGGTGAGGGGTGAGAGAAGGGGTGCCCTCGGGTGGCTCTGCTCTTGTCGCACCCGCGTGCTCTCCCGGTGGACCGCCTGCAACCGTGGGGTCAGGCGTTGGGGACGGAGAGGGGGGCTGGCCATGGAGCAGCGTGGGGGTCGGGGAGCACGGCTCCGCCAAGAAGGCCAGGGCCTTGGCTGCCCCCCTGGACACTACCGGGACCTGAGGGTGGGGGTGGGGAAGTGGTGCTCCTGGGGGTGGGTGGGCTGGAGGACGGGAGGTGAGGATGGGGGCTCCCTCGCGCGGCTCTGTCCTCAAGGTCTCCCCCAGCCCCTCCATCGGTCCTTCTGCTAGCATGGGGACGGGCATGGGGGGTAGAGGGGGAACCTCGACGTGAGGCTGCAGGGGGGCCGGGTCGGCCTCACCGTCAAGCGTGAGGTATTGGGCCAGTGGCCCGTCAATGTGCATCACATCCTCTCCCTCATCCTCCTCTATCGCTATCACATCCCCCTCTTCAGTGCCCACCCCGGTCGGGACCACACTCACCTCTCCTTCCCTTGTTGCCCCTATGTCCCCCGAGCCCACCCCGCCTGCTGCCGCTTTACTGCTAGCCCCTTTTGCAGTCCCCGCCGGCCCTGCCGGCCCTGCTGTGTGTTTCCCCGCGTTTGCTGCGGCCCCTGCCGCCCCTACTGGCCGTGCTATGGCCCTCCCTGCTGCTTCAGCTGCAGCCTCACCTTCTGCCTTTGAGGCCACTGCTGTCCCCTCTCCCACTCTAGCCCCTGCCGTACCCTCTCTTGCTACAGCCGGGGCGGCACTCTCCCTCGCACCAGTCCCCGTTACCCCCTTCCCCGCTGCACCCGTAGCACCTCCCCCTATACCAGCCCCCACTGTGGCCTCTGTCGCTCCTGCTGCAGTCCTTGCAGCCTCGACTGCTGCAGTCTGTAAAACCTCGCCTACCGTAATCTGCTCAGCCTCACCAGCCGCGATCCCTGCAGCCTTGCCTACCGCGGTCCCTGCAGGCTCACGTGCTGCAGTCCCTGCAGCCTCACCCGCTGCAGTCCCTGCAGCCTCACCTGCTGCAGTCTGTGCAGCCTCACCTGCTAGAATCTGCTCAACCTCACATGCTGCGGCCTCTGCAGCCTCACCTGCTGCGGCTATTTCAGCCTCACCTGCTGCGCTCCCTGCGGCCTCACCTGCCATGGTCCCGCCTGCAGCCTCATCCGCTGTGGTCCCTGCCGCCTCACCTGCTGCAGTCCCTGCGGCCTCACCTGTTGCAGTCCCTGCGACCTCACCAGCTGTAGACTGTGCAGCCTCACCTGCTAGAGTCTGCCCAACCTTACATGATGCAGCCCTCGCAGCCTCACCTGCTGCGTCCGCCGCAGTCTCACCTGCTGCGGCCCCTGCAGTCCCGCCTGCTGCGCTCCCTGCGGCCTCACCTGCTGCGCTCTCTGCAGCCTCACCTGCTGCGCCCCCTACAGCCTCACCTGCTGCGCTCCCTGCAGCCTCACCTACTGCGCTCCCTGCGGCCTCACCTGCCATGGTCCCTCCTGCAGCCTCACCCGTTGTGATCCCTGCAGCCACGCCTGCTGTGGTCTGTGCGGCCTCACCTGGTGCGGTCCCTATAGCCTCCTCTGCTGCGGTTCCCCCAGCCGACACAGCAGCAGGTTCCGTGGCCCCTACTCCTGCAAAACCTGTCTCCATGGCCTCTGCCCTTTGCCTGGCCAGAGTCACGGTCCCTGCCGCCCCTTCCCGTGCAGCCCCTGCCGCCCTTTCCCGTGCAGCCGCTGCTGCCCCTTCCCTTGCAGCCTCTGCTGCCCTTTCCTCTGCAGCCTCTGCTGCCCCTTCCCCCACGACCCCCATTGCCCCTTCCCGTGCAGCCTTTGCTGCCCCATCCTCTGCAGCCTCTGCTGCTCCTTCACACACAAACTCACTTACCCCTTCCCGTGCAGTGTCAGCTGCAAGTTCCCCCCTGGCTCTGCCCTCTCCCGCTTCTATGTGCTTGGGGGTGCGGGTAGGATTAAGTGTTTTCACAAGTAATCTGGTTTGTGAATGGGAGGTAGCGAGTGAGTTGGAGGATCTCTCTACTGAGCATGCATGGGTGCCGCCCCCGCTGTCACCTGAAGGGGGGGTAGGCTGGGATGGGGCAGCGGGGGTAGGGCGCGGTTTTGAGCGTGCTGGCTCCTCCTCGTGTATTTCCTCCAGTGGGGCTTGGCGTTCCTCTGTTCCATCCTCTTCAAAGGTACGCTTCTGGCCCCTAGGGTCAGATTGTGTGAGTGTTTTCGCTTGGTCAGGTGTGTGTTGTTTCTTCCTGACTGTTGAAGTGGGGGGAGTGGGAGAGTAGGGGGTGGCTCGGCTGCGGGACCTCCCAGATCGCCGAGGGGCTCCCGGGTCTGCCTTTCCCCCACTCGCGGGGTGCTGGGGCATTGTTACAGAGGCAGCATGCCTGGCGGTGGCGGTGTGAGTTGCTGGAGTTGGCTCAAGAGGGCGTCAAAGGGGGAAGGAACTCCCTGGCAGAGGCCGGGGTGCGGGGGGTTAGCTTGGGGAAAGGGGAAAAGGGTGGGGAAAGCGGTGCGCAGTGGGTGGAAGAGAGGGTAGAGGGGGCCTGACAGTTGGAGGGGATTGGGGCCCAAGGGGGGGGCGGGCTGGGGGCCGGTTGAGAGGGGAAGTGTTGGCGGGCTGTAGTGGAGGTGGGGGGGCGGGGGTGATGTAGCGGTGGGTGAGCAGGGTGTGGGGACAGGTGGTGGGCCGGAGGTGGGGAGGGCAGGGCAGAATTCCACGGGAGGTGGGGGTGGGCAGGTGGAGCCAAGTGGGAAAGGAAGGGTGGGGAACAGAGAGGAAGGGGCAAAGGGTAGTGGGTAGTCGAGTTGGCGTGAGCCTGGTAGCGGGTAATGAGAAGGTTGGGAGGCGGGGGGTGAGAACGTGGGAGGGCAGAGAGGGCACCGAAAGGAGGCGCTGTGGTAAATGCAGAATAGGATGCGGGGCCGGGAAACAGGGGACAGAGGGAATTGGGGAAACGATGAAGGGTGATAACTGCGGATGGGCGAGCCCCAGGGGGGAGGAAATATGGAGGGTGTTGGAGAAGGGGGAGACTGGGGGGGGTTGAGGTAGGGTGTTGGAGGGCACAAGGGGCAGGAACAGGGGGTGCAAAGGTTGGCTGGGGGAGGGAGAGGCGGTCTGGTGCCGCGGAAAGGCGGAGGGAGGTTGGGGACGGCACAGCCCAGGGAGCAAAAGCAAGGGGTGTAGACCTTGGCTGGGGGTAGGAACGGCGGTGTGGAGTTAGGGAGAGGTAGAGGGAGGCTGGGGTAGGTGGCTGGATTGCGCAGGGAGCAGGGGCAGGGGGTGTAGAGATTGGATGGGGGTGGGAAAGGCGGCGTGGTGCCAGGTGGCGGCAGTTGGGTCACCGAAGGGCCTGGCACGGCGGGATGCAGAGGTGCAGCCCACGCTGGATGCGGAAGTAGCTGGGGGGGAAAGGGAGGCTGGAGGGGGAAGTACGGCTCGTAGAGGTGTGGGGGGCAGAGTGGGAGTGGGGAAGGCAGGAGGGGGGGTGGAGGAGGGACGTTGTGGACAGGGGAGTGGGGGAACATGCGGGTGATGATAGGGAGAAGCCGGGGGGGGGGGAGAAGGGGGAGGTGGTATGAAGTGGGCAAGGGTGACGCACGGGCGGAGCGCGGCGGTACTAAGGGCAGGGAGACGGGAGGCTGGGGGGAGAAAAGCCTGCTTGGGGGCGTGGTGGGGGATAAGGGGAAAGGGGCGGTAATGCTGGTGGGCGAAAGGGGAGGGTGTGGTGCAGTATGATGAAACAGAATGGGGGGGTGGCGGACTGGATGGGGCCCTGGAGGGTTGGGAGAACAAAGTGTAAGCTGCCTTTCTGATTTTTTTTCTGGTTTTTTTCCGATTTATATGAATATTTTTTTTTTCTTTGAAGGGTATTTGCTCTTCCCTTATTAATGAATAACTGCTCTCGCCCACCGGCGCTTAGCTTCGGAGTTCTGATGGGATCCGGCGTAGTAGCCGAGGTATGATCGTACCACGTCAACCCCGTGCCCCGACCGGTACACACCCCTTGCCCGGGTCCCCCCTTCATAGTCACACCCCCTGCCCCCTCATGCCATCCGCTCCCCTCGCCCCTACCCTCCGCGTGCCCGCTCCCTTGCCGCCTCTTTTGACCCTCCCTGCCCCCCTTGCCGTTTCCCACCGCCCGCCATTCGCTCCTCCCCGCCCGTGCGCTCCCCTCGTTTACCTTCTCCTCCCCCCTCCCCTCCTCTGCTGCACGCCTCTTCCTTCCCCTCGCCGACCCACTCCACTCCCTGCCCCTCCTCAATCCGCACCCTGCCCCTCGTATCTCGCCCCCCTATGCTTGGTTTCTCCCCTCCCTGCCCCTCGCCGCCTTTCTCCGCCCCCCACCTCCCCCCTCTCCCTGCCCCCCCACTCTCCCACCCTTGCCCTTGGCTTCCTACCTCCCTGCCCCACCTTTCCCCCCTCTGTGTGCTCAGCTTCTCCCCTCCCTGCCCCTCCCTCCTCCCCGCCCTGCCCCTCGTTTTCCGCCCCCCCACGCCCGGTTTCTCCCCTCCCCGCGCCTCCCTTTCTTTCTCCGTGCCTCTCCTCTGCTCCCTCCCTGCCCGCGCCTGCCCATGCCCCTGTCTTTGGCTTCTCCCCTCCCTGCCCCACGTTTCTTCCCTCCCTGCCCACCCCCTCTGCCCCTCCCTTGTTTTCCCCTCACCCATTGCTTCTCCCCTCCCTGCCCTTGATTTCCCGCACCCCTGCCCTTGTTTCCTACCATCCATGCCCCTCGTTTCCCCCCCTTTGTACGTTCAGCCTCTTCCCTCCCTGCCCCTCCCTTCCTCCCCCCCTGCCCTTTGCTCTACCCTCGTTACGCTCCCTTCTCCCCATCCCTGCTGCCCTCTTACCACCATCAGCCCATCCCCACCACCAGCCCCCCTCCCACCCTTCTCTCCCCCCCTCCCTTTCCCTCTCTCTCTTTCTCACACACACACACGCACACTCCCCTCCCCCACCCCCCACCCACATCCTCCCATTCTGCCCCTCCCTGCCCCTTTCCCACCCCCTCGCACGCCCCTCACCTCCCACCTCCGTGCAACTGGTTTCCCCCCCTATGGTGCCTCCCTTGCATCGCTCGCCCCTCTGCTCACCCTCTGCCCGCCCCTTTTCCGTGCCCTCAGCTGGCCCAGCCCCTGCCCGTTGCTGCCCCTCCCCTTGCCCCCTCAACTCCCCTGCCCCCCGTACACCCCAGTCCCATCCAACCGCCCCCACCCTCCCCCGGCTGCCCGTTTCCGCTCTCCACCCCCGCGACCGTGTGCGGCTTCCAACCGCCCAACGGTGGTGCGCACGGGGCGTTTGTTCGGACGGGCAAGCCTCCCCGGGGGCCCCCCACCCGGCTGGGTCGTTGTTCGGGCAAAAAAACGAAAATGAAAAAATCGGACGCGCTGAAATCGTCCTTTCTTTTTCCCGCTTGCCCCTCCCCCGGCACGTGCCGAGCAAGGGGCATAAATGGGTACAACACGAGGACTTCCCGGGAGGTCACCCAGCCCAGTACTGCTTTCGACTGTCGAGTTGGACGGGTCGGGGGTCGCGAGTTTCGCGCGTGACCCTCAGGAGTCTCGGAAACGGAACTCGCGGGGTGTTACGGAACCGCTCGTTCGACCCCGCCATCGCGGGAAGGCTGCGGACGCGCTGCAGCCGGTGTAACGGGAGGTGGGGCGTTGACGCGAAGTTCGCGCGCGGAGTGTAACAGCGCGCGCGACTCACAACCACAACTCCGCCAGACACGGTGGCGGCGGCCGCGATCGCTACTGGGAGGGAGGCCGTCGGGTTGAGGGATGCGCCCATGGCAGACGCCACCGACTCCCCCTCCCATCCCTCCCACCCCTTCCATGTCGACGACCCCCTACTGCAACCCATGGTGATTGGGGAGGGCCAAGGGGGCCTTCTAGGGCAGGGTCCACACCTGAGCTCCGCTCAGCCAGCACGCCCCACTCCACCCTCTACCCTGCCAGCCCTCCTACTCTCACCTACAGGCAGGCAGGTCTTCGAGACCCCAGAGGAGGTGAGGGCTGGCATTTCAGATTTGCTGGCGATACACCGCCTGAGCAGCTCTTCGGCTGCCCCCACCCTTCCAGTCCCACAGGACCGGACCCGGACGTATGCGGAGGTCACCCGGTCTGTCCCTTCTTTTATCCCCCCCGCCACTCAGCCAGGCGCGTCACTCCCGACCCCAATGGAGACGGACCGGGTTCTGAGGCCGTGTCACTCGCACCTAGACGGGGTGGCGCCTCCCCCCGTTCAGCCCGTGGCGCAGGAGGTCACCAGCAGTAGGGATGAGGCATCCGCCCCTACCGAGACCCCTCCGCCTGGGGTAGCAGAGCCGTTACTTGAACCGCACCCCGCCGAGGGGCAGGAGCACACCACGGCACACACTTCAGGCTCACCTCCACGTCCCCCCTCCCCAGCTTTGACACCGGTACCGGCACGAGGCCCGGCCCTATCCTGTGCGACACCACCTCTATCTTCGCTGACACCCCCCCCGCGCGGGGCTGGTGAGTGGTCTCCTCCCCTCATCCCAGGCGATCCTCTCGGAGCTCAGGCCGCCCACGGGGTCCCCTCTACAGCCAGTTCCGACGCCACGGCCCCGATTGACCCCGCCGACACGGCGACATCACCCGACCAGGTCGTGAGTTGCCCCACCTGCAGGAGCTCTCTCGCGAACCGACGCGCGCTCCAGCACCACATTCCCTTTTGCCATCCTGCGGACGCGGCTCGCAGGGCGCAGGCTGCCCATGATACCGCCTCGATCATCCCTTCCCTCTCACAGCCCCGTGCGACCGGGATGCAGTTCACCGACGCACAGTGGCGGACGCTCGACTCGGTGGACTGGACAGAGTACTTCTCGCCCGAGCGTATCCATACACGCCCTCTCCGACGTGTCCCGGAGAGGGTCCGCGGAGGATATCTTGACGTCCTCAGTGCGATCCTAGTCCGCATTGCCCAGGACCCGGAGGCTGCTGGCCCTACCTTCCTCCTCGCTGCAACGCCGACTCTTTTCCTTGTTCCAGCGACGCCACCCGACCGCTCGCACACGGCTGCCATTGCAACGCGCATCTCCCGCTTTGGTCGAGGTGAGTGGGCTGAGCTAGTCTCAGATGCACTAGGCCGTCGCACACCCCTTCCTCGGCGCACAGGTCACCGGTCACGCACCGCCACCGATCCCTCTGCAGCAGATGAGCGCCGCATTGCACGTTGCCTTCGTCTGGCAGCGTGCAATGAGACCTCACAGGCGTGTGCGGCTCTCGAGTCCGCGGAGGCAGCCCCAGATACACACGGGACAATACAGCGCCTGCAGTCGAAGCACCCCAACGCGGAGAGGCCGACCCCAGCTTGGCTGTCTGGCTTCCAGGGGTCCCCTCTCGTGCTCTCGGTGGATCACTTACGCCGCGCGATTTTCACAGCTCCGCGGGGCTCTTCGGGAGGACCGTCCGGTTGGGTCGCTGAGCACCTGCGAGACACTTTCCTAGCTTTCCCTCAGAGTCTCCATTTCCTCCTGGCCGTGTACCAGCAGTGGCTCCGAGGCCGTTGCGCTCCAGCTGCGCGCTCCTTGCTAGCGTCTTCCACCCTCGTGGCTCTGGCGAAGTCGAACATGGATGTTCGGCCGATTGCCATCGGCGAGGTTTTGGTCCGCATTCTTTCTCGGGCAGTTTGTCTCCAGCTACGTGACCAGATGGCGAGGGTCTTCTTGGCATCACAGCAGTTTGGGGTGGGGGTTATGTGCGGGACAGAGGTCGTAGTTAGAGGCGTCCGCCGCGCTCTGGCTGACCACCCAGACTGGGTGGTCCTGCAGCTAGACGTGGCGAATGCCTTTAACTCTTTCCACCGAGACACGATGTTTCAGGCGCTGCAGGCCAGTCAGGAGTTTCAGTGTCTGATCCCCTTCATCGGCCTCTTCTACGGGACGCCCTCGGATCTCCACTACAGGTCAGGCACGGGAGTGGTCACGATGCACTCGGAGCGGGGCACTCGCCAGGGAGACCCTCTCAGCCCCTTCTTGTACGCTCTGACACAGCGTCTTGCTTTGGAGCCGGTTCTGGCGGAGGGGGATGTCCAGCTCTGGTTGTACGCCGATGACACGTACGTGCTAGGTCCCCCAGACAGGGTGCTGCACCACTTTGCCGAGATCGTGAGGCGCTTGGGCGAGATGGGCCTTGCAGCCCAGCCGCACAAGTGCCTCGTCTACCAGACAGAGTCCTTTCTGTCCAGGGATCTGGAGGCTTTCACGGGCCTAGGGATCGAGGTCGCACGCCGAGGGCTCACCATGACAGGCGTTCCGGTAGGCACCGTTTCGTTCGTGGAGCAGAGTCTCCCGGATCGTCTCGAGAGGATGGGGCGGGTGCTACCTTGGCTTCCGAGGTTGCGCCAGCCCCAGACAGCTGCCCGCCTTCTTTTGGCGTGTGTCCGCACTCGTCCGCAGTACCTGTCGAGGACCGTCCCTCCTTCGCCCGCAGTGATCTCCAGTTTTACACGGTGGGACGCACGCCTGGGAGAGACTTTTCAGCAGCTTTTAGCTTCAGGGACCTGGGCTTGTCGCGAGGACGTCCGAGAGGCCGCCCTAGACCAGATCTTCCTCCCCATCCGTCTCGGGGGTTTTGGCATTCGTCGCATGGCGCGCATTGCCCCGGTGAGTTTCGTGTGCTCCTGGGTGCAGTGTGCACCCATTCTCTGTTCTCTCCCTGCGTGTGGCGAGGTGTTTCGGCAGAGCTTTGCTTCAGGTGAGCCAGAGCAGATCGACCGGGCTCTGCAGACGGCGCTAGAGGGTCTCCCACCTGACGTTCTCTCTCTCCTTCCCCCCTGGCCCTCTTGCGCTTGTGCCTCCCCCGATTCCCTTTTTGCAGGAGCGAGCCGTCTTCTGGAGGCGCATGCCTTGGAGGCCGTGCGTGCCCGTCACGCCTCTCCCTTGCACCTTGCCCGTTTGACTTCCCTTCAGGGCGGAGGTGCAGGAGCGTGGTTGACGTCGGTGCCGTACGCCGACCCACTGCGCATCCCGGAGGCGCTGTGGCAGGCGGCTTCATCTTCTCGTCTTGGTCTCCCTATCCCCCAGTTAGCCCTTGCAGGTCAGTGCTCCTGCGGACAGGCGATTGACGACATGACGGTGCCTCATCACGCGGTTCGGTGCCCGCGTTACGGGGTCGCCACTACCATCCACGACACGGTGAAGTACATGCTTCGAGACTTTGCGGTCGAGGCGGGCTTCGCGGTAAAGGTGGAGGACTCTACGCTGTTCACACAGTTGGAGGCGGCTCGAGCGAGACTACTGGGACAGCCAGTGGTGGGAGAGGGGACACGGGCTGAGGGACCGGGGGAGCGGAGAGGCGTGGCGGGACAGCCGGGTGGCGGGGGACAGTGGGGACGGCACCAGCTGCGGGGTCAGGTGGAGCGAGGGACAGGTGGGCAGAGGGGACGGCAGGGGGAGCAGACGGGCCAGGACGGGGAGGGGGGACGGCACAGGCAGCAGCAGGAGAGCCAGTGGAGGCCGCGGGCCCAGGGCGCCGCGCCTCCAGGTTCGGCCTCGGGGGCGGGGCAGGGGCGGGAGCAGCAGAGAGCGGACGGAGGTACAGGAGGGGCAGCGGGATTGGGAGGGGAGGGCCAGGGAGTGAGAGAGGCAGCAGGGGATGGAGCAGGGGGGTCGGGAGGTTTGGGGGAGGGTAGAGAGGGGGAGGGGAGAGGACAGGTGGATGGAGGAGAGGAGAGGGGGAGAGAGACGATCGGAGAGGGGGCACCAAGGGACCAGACAGGGCAGCAGCCAGCGCAACAGCAGGGACCAGTCGGACGCACAGGCCGTGTAGGCACCGCCTCCCGCATTCCAGACCTCACGTGCCGCGACGTTGGCCAGGGTCTGATGGTTCTTGTGGATGTCTCCATAGCGGATCCACAGCGGGAGGGGAACGTGCAGCTGAGACGGGCGACCCCCACACAGATTGGAGTGGCAGCAGCTAGGCGGGTGCAGGAGAAGCTGCGTCACTGGGGGCCGCACTTAGAGGGGCTGCAGCCGGCACCACACTTTTACGCGTGCGTGGCGGAGACCTTTGGCCTTCTGAGTGAGCCGCTGCGTCAGTTTCTGGGGCTCTGCGCAAAGAGGATAGCACAGCGGAGGAGGGATAGAGGTGGGGGGGATGACGGATCGGCACGGATATTTGAGGCAGGACTCACTACACGCCTCTCCGTTGCACTGCAGCGCGCGCAGGCTCAATGCATGATCCAGCATGCGGTGCGGCAGTTAGGGAGGTCCGACGACGGGTGGATGCCCGCACCAGTCCCACTGGGTGCGGGGCAGGGAACTTGGCACCACGTCACAGGGTGCTTCGAGAGTGTGGCTGATATGCAGTATATATATGATGCATATGTGTAAAAAACAATAGTGGCTGTGCTTGAAACGCTGTGCCCGTGCGGTCGTGCGGGTTGCTGCCGTGTTTGGTCCTTTGGTGCTTCCTCCTCCTTAGTCTCTCTCTCTCTCTCCTCTTCTCTTCCCACCTCCCTCTTTCTGTTCCCTTCTTCTATCCTTCCCTTCTCTTCCTACCACCCTCTTCCTTTCCCTACCACTTCTTCTTACTCCTTCATCTTTCCTTCCTTTCCTTTCTTTCCCCCTTTTCCTACAAAATATATATATCGTCCTCATAGCGCTTAGGCTATGTCGAAATTTCCTAGTCTTGGAAAAACCATTATATTCGGCTTGTATTTGCTCTTCCCTTATTAATGAATAACTGCTCTCGCCCACCGGCGCTTAGCTTCGGAGTTCTGATGGGATCCGGCGTAGTAGCCGAGGTATGATCGTACCACGTCAACCCCGTGCCCCGACCGGTACACACCCCTTGCCCGGGTCCCCCCTTCATAGTCACACCCCCTGCCCCCTCATGCCATCCGCTCCCCCCGCCCCTACCCTCCGCGTGCCCGCTCCCTTGCCGCCTCTTTTGACCCTCCCTGCCCCCCTCGCCGTTTCCCACCGCCCGCCATTCGCTCCTCCCCGCCCGTGCGCTCCCCTCGTTTACCTTCTCCTCCCCCCTCCCCTCCTCTGCTGCACGCCTCTTCCTTCCCCTCGCCGACCCACTCCACTCCCTGCCCCTCCTCAATCCGCACCCTGCCCCTCGTATCTCGCCCCCCTATGCTTGGTTTCTCCCCTCCCTGCCCCTCGCCGCCTTTCTCCGCCCCCCACCTCCCCCCTCTCCCTGCCCCCCCACTCTCCCACCCTTGCCCTTGGCTTCCTACCTCCCTGCCCCACCTTTCCCCCCTCTGTGTGCTCAGCTTCTCTCCTCCCTGCCCCTCCCTCCTCCCCGCCCTGCCCCTCGTTTTCCGCCCCCCCACGCCCGGTTTCTCCCCTCCCCGCGCCTCCCTTTCTTTCTCCGTGCCTCTCCTCTGCTCCCTCCCTGCCCCCGCCTGCCCATGCCCCTGTCTTTGGCTTCTCCCCTCCCTGCCCCACGTTTCTTCCCTCCCTGCCCACCCCCTCTGCCCCTCCCTTGTTTTCCCCTCACCCATTGCTTCTCCCCTCCCTGCCCTTGATTTCCTGCACCCCTGCCCTTGTTTCTTACCATCCATGCCCCTTGTTTCCCCCCCTTTGTACGTTCAGCCTCTTCCCTCCCTGCCCCTCCCTTCCTCCCCCCCTGCCCTTTGCTCTCCCCTCGTTACGCTCCCTTCTCCCCATCCCTGCTGCCCTCTTACCACCATCAGCCCATCCCCACCACCAGCCCCCCTCCCACCCTTCTCTCCCCCCCTCCCTTTCCCTCTCTCTCTTTCTCACACACACACACGCACACTCCCCTCCCCCACTCCCCACCCACATCCTCCCATTCTGCCCCTCCCTGCCCCTTTCCCACCCCCTCGCACGCCCCTCACCTCCCACCTCCGTGCAACTGGTTTCCCCCCCTATGGTGCCTCCCTTGCATCGCTCGCCCCTCTGCTCACCCTCTGCCCGCCCCTTTTCCGTGCCCTCAGCTGGCCCAGCCCCTGCCCGTTGCTGCCCCTCCCCTTGCCCCCTCAACTCCCCTGCCCCCCGTACACCCCAGTCCCATCCAACCGCCCCCACCCTCCCCCGGCTGCCCGTTTCCGCTCTCCACCCCCGCGACCGTGTGCGGCTTCCAACCGCCCAACGGTGGTGCGCACGGGGCGTTTCTTCGCACGGGCAAGCCTCCCCGGGGGCCCCCCACCCCGCTGGGTCGTTGTTCGGGCAAAAAAACGAAAATGAAAAAATCGGACGCGCTGAAATCGTCCTTTCTTTTTCCCGCTTGCCCCTCCCCCGGCACGTGCCGAGCAAGGGGCATAAATGGGTACAACACGAGGACTTCCCGGGAGGTCACCCAGCCCAGTACTGCTCTCGCCCACACAGATTGGAGTGGCAGCAGCTAGGCGGGTGCAGGAGAAGCTGCGTCACTGGGGGCCGCACTTAGAGGGGCTGCAGCCGGCACCACACTTTTACGCGTGCGTGGCGGAGACCTTTGGCCTTCTGAGTGAGCCGCTGCGTCAGTTTCTGGGGCTCTGCGCAAAGAGGATAGCACAGCGGAGGAGGGATAGAGGTGGGGGGGATGACGGATCGGCATGGATATTTGAGGCAGGACTCACTACACGCCTCTCCGTTGCACTGCAGCGCGCGCAGGCTCAATGCATGATCCAGCATGCGGTGCGGCAGTTAGGGAGATCCGACGACGGGTGGATGCCCGCACCAGTCCCACTGGGTGCGGGGCAGGGTACTTGGCACCACGTCATAGGGTGCTTCGAGAGTGTAGCTGATATGCAGTATATATATGATGCATATGTGTAAAAAACAATAGGGGCTGTGCTTGAAACGCTGTGCCCGTGCGGTCGTGCGGGTTGCTGCCGTGTTTTGGTCCTTTGGTGCTTCCTCCTCCTTAGTCTCTCTCCCTCTCTCCTCTTCTCTTCCCACCTCCCTCTTTCTGTTCCCTTCTTCTATCCTTCCCTCCTCTTCCTACCACCCTCTTCCTTTCCCTACCACTTCTTCTTACTCCTCCATCATTCCTTCCTTTCCTTTCTTTCCCCCTTTTCCTACAAAACATATATTCTGTCCTCATAGCGATTAGGCTATGTCGAAATTTCCTAGTCTTGGAAAAACCATTATATTCGGCTTGTACTTGCTCTTCCCCTATTAATGAATAACTGCTCTCGCCCACCGGCGCTTAGCTTCGGAGTTCTGATGGGATCCGGCGTAGTAGCAGAGGTATGATCGTACCACGTCAACCCCGTGCCCCGACCGGTACACACCCCTTGCCCGGGTCCCCACTTCATAGTCACACCCCCTGCCCCCTCATGCCATCCGCTCCCCCCGCCCCTACCCTCCGCGTGCCCGCTCCCTTGCCGCCTCTTTTGACCCTCCCTGCCCCCCTCGCCGTTTCCCACCGCCCGCCATTCGCTCCTCCCCGCCCGTGCGCTCCCCTCGTTTACCTTCTCCTCCCCCCTCCCCTCCTCTGCTGCACGCCTCTTCCTTCCCCTCGCCGACCCACTCCACTCCCTGCCCCTCCTCAATCCGCACCCTGCCCCTCGTATCTCGCCCCCCTATGCTTGGTTTCTCCCCTCCCTGCCCCTCGCCGCCTTTCTCCGCCCCCCACCTCCCCCCTCTCCCTGCCCCCCCACTCTCCCACCCTTGCCCTTGGCTTCCTACCTCCCTGCCCCACCTTTCCCCCCTCTGTGTGCTCAGCTTCTCCCTTCCCTGCCCCTCCCTCCTCCCCGCCCTGCCCCTTGTTTTCCGCCCCCCCACGCCCGGTTTCTCCCCTCCCCGCGCCTCCCTTTCTTTCTCCGTGCCTCTCCTCTGCTCCCTCCCTGCCCGCGCCTGCCCATGCCCCTGTCTTTGGCTTCTCCCCTCCCTGCCCCACGTTTCTTCCCTCCCTGCCCACCCCCTCTGCCCCTCCCTTGTTTTCCCCTCACCCATTGCTTCTCCCCTCCCTGCCCTTGATTTCCCGCACCCCTGCCCTTGTTTCCTACCATCCATGCCCCTCGTTTCCCCCCCTTTGTACGTTCAGCCTCTTCCCTCCCTGCCCCTCCCTTCCTCTCCCCCTGCCCTTTGCTCTCCCCTCGTTACGCTCCCTTCTCCCCATCCCTGCTGCCCTCTTACCACCATCAGCCCATCCCCACCACCAGCCCCCCTCCCACCCTTCTCTCCCCCCCTCCCTTTCCCTCTCTCTCTTTCTCACACACACACACGCACACTCCCCTCCCCCACCCCCCACCCACATCCTCCCATTCTGCCCCTCCCTGCCCCTTTCCCACCCCCTCGCACGCCCCTCACCTCCCACCTCCGTGCAACTGGTTTCCCCCCTATGGTGCCTCCCTTGCATCGCTCGCCCCTCTGCTCACCCTCTGCCCGCCCCTTTTCCGTGCCCTCAGCTGGCCCAGCCCCTGCCCGTTGCTGCCCCTCCCCTTGCCCCCTCAACTCCCCTGCCCCCCGTACACCCCAGTCCCATCCAACCGCCCCCACCCTCCCCCGGCTGCCCGTTTCCGCTCTCCACCCCCGCGACCGTGCGCGGCTTCCAACCGCCCAACGGTGGTGCGCACGGGGCGTTTCTTCGCACGGGCAAGCCTCCCCGGGGGCCCCCCACCCCGCTGGGTTGTTGTTTGGGCAAAAAAACGAAAATGAAAAAATCGGACGCGCTGAAATCGTCCTTTCTTTTTCCCGCTTGCCCCTCCCCCGGCACGTGCCGAGCAAGGGGCATAAATGGGTACAACACGAGGACTTCCCGGGAGGTCACCCAGCCCAGTACTGCTCTCGCCCACCCGCGCTCTTACCTTGACCTAGCTTACCTAGCCATGGCTGCCTACTAAGGAGCCTCCTAAACCTACTATTTCGAGTTGCTTAAGGACAAAGTGATTGTGATAGTTGTTTATCTTATAGTTATAAGCGTTTCCAACGGTTAGTTTTCCAGTTTCGACTGTCGAGTCCGACGGGTCGGGGGTCGCGAGTTTCGCGCGTGACCTTCAGGAGTCTCGGAAACGGAACTCGCGGGGTGTTACGGAACCGCTCGTTTGACCCCGCCATCGTGGGAAGGCTGCGGACGCGCTGCAGCCGGTGTAACGGGAGGTGGGGCGTTGACGCGAAGTTCGCCCGCGGAGTGTAACAGCGCGCGCGACTCACAACCACAACTCCGCCAGACACGGTGTTCCCGCCCATCCCCTCTCTCGACACTCTCCCTTATCCCCCCGCTCTTTTCTGCCCACGGCTTTTCTATTCGAAGCGATTAGCTACTACCGATTTTCTTCCCACGGTTTCCCTCTCTCGAAGTCACTGAGCTTAGCTTCCACACGTAGTTAGCATTCTTCCTTCCCTTTCAGTGCGCCCTTCTTTATCGAAACCCGAATTCGAAGAGCCGCGCGTTTTCAAGCACGCTTTCTCGTCGCTTGTCATGTTTAGTCACGCACTCATTTTCCCCGCCCGTTCAATCTAGCCGCGACGTAGACGGAACCGCGCACGGGGCGCTTACCGCCAGGGAAAGGCAGCGCGGAGGGAGGCGAAATTGCTACGTTCGTAGCGATTAAGCAGCCCTCCCCTTGCGCGCCTCCCGAAGCGCGTTTTCTGCGTAGAGCGTTTTAGCCGCCCACGTTGGGCACACAGGCTGCCCCACTCCCCCTTTGCTCACTCCCACCCTGCCATGCCTCGTCGCGCACTCGTGCATGCCACCCACACGTCGTAATCTTACCCCGTCGCCACCCACATATTCACCTTCCTGCTCACACCGCCCCTTTCCCCCTCACACGCGCGCTTTAGCCACCCCGCCACCTAACCTCTTTCCCTAACGGCGCTTAGCTAGCAGAGGCCGCCCTGTCTCTGGAAACCGTAGGAAATAAGGGGAAACAACTTCAAAGAAAAAAAAAATATATTCATATAAATCGGAAAAAAACCAGAAAAAAAAAAATCAGAAAGGCAGCTTACACTTTGTTCTCCCAACCCTCCAGGGCCCCATCCAGTCCGCCACCCCCCCATTCTGTTTCATCATACTGCACCACACCCTCCCCTTTCGCCCACCAGCATTACCGCCCCTTTCCCCTTATCCCCCACCACGCCCCCAAGCAGGCTTTTCTCCCCCCAGCCTCCCGTCTCCCTGCCCTTAGTACCGCCGCGCTCTGCCCGTGCGTCACCCTTGCCCACTTCATACCACCTCCCCCTTCTCCCCCCCCCCCCGGCTTCTCCCTATCATCACCCGCATGTTCCCCCACTCCCCTGTCCACAACGTCCCTCCTCCACCCCCCCTCCTGCCTTCCCCACTCCCACTCTGCCCCCCACACCTCTACGAGCCGTACTTCCCCCTCCAGCCTCCCTTTCCCCCCCAGCTACTTCCGCATCCAGCGTGGGCTGCACCTCTGCATCCCGCCCTGCCAGGCCCTTCGGTGACCCAACTGCCGCCACCTGGCACCACGCCGCCTTTCCCACCCCCATCCAATCTCTACACCCCCTGCCCCTGCTCCCTGCGCAATCCAGCCACCTACCCCAGCCTCCCTCTACCTCTCCCTAACTCCACACCGCCGTTCCTACCCCCAGCCAAGGTCTACACCCCTTGCTTTTGCTCCCTGGGCTGTGCCGTCCCCAACCTCCCTCCGCCTTTCCGCGGCACCAGACCGCCTCTCCCTCCCCCAGCCAACCTTTGCACCCCCTGTTCCTGCCCCTTGTGCCCTCCAACACCCTACCTCAACCCCCCCCAGTCTCCCCCTTCTCCAACACCCTCCATATTTCCTCCCCCCTGGGGCTCGCCCATCCGCAGTTATCACCCTTCATCGTTTCCCCAATTCCCTCTGTCCCCTGTTTCCCGGCCCCGCATCCTATTCTGCATTTACCACAGCGCCTCCTTTCGGTGCCCTCTCTGCCCTCCCACGTTCTCACCCCCCGCCTCCCAACCTTCTCATTACCCGCTACCAGGCTCACGCCAACTCGACTACCCACTACCCTTTGCCCCTTCCTCTCTGTTCCCCACCCTTCCTTTCCCACTTGGCTCCACCTGCCCACCCCCACCTCCCGTGGAATTCTGCCCTGCCCTCCCCACCTCCGGCCCACCACCTGTCCCCACACCCTGCTCACCCACCGCTACATCACCCCCGCCCCCCCACCTCCACTACAGCCCGCCAACACTTCCCCTCTCAACCGGCCCCCAGCCCGCCCCCCCCTTGGGCCCCAATCCCCTCCAACTGTCAGGCCCCCTCTACCCTCTCTTCCACCCACTGCGCACCGCTTTCCCCACCCTTTTCCCCTTTCCCCAAGCTAACCCCCCGCACCCCAGGCCTCTGCCAGGGAGTTCCTTCCCCCTTTGACGCCCTCTTGAGCCAACTCCAGCAACTCACACCGCCACCGCCAGGCATGCTGCCTCTGTAACAATGCCCCAGCACCCCGCGAGTGGGGGAAAGGCAGACCCGGGAGCCCCTCGGCGATCTGGGAGGTCCCGCAGCCGAGCCACCCCCTATTCTCCCACTCCCCCCACTTCAACAGTCAGGAAGAAACAACACACACCTGACCAAGCGAAAACACTCACACAATCTGACCCTAGGGGCCAGAAGCGTACCTTTGAAGAGGATGGAACAGAGGAACGCCAAGCCCCACTGGAGGAAATACACGAGGAGGAGCCAGCACGCTCAAAACCGCGCCCTACCCCCGCTGCCCCATCCCAGCCTACCCCCCCTTCAGGTGACAGCGGGGGCGGCACCCATGCATGCTCAGTAGAGAGATCCTCCAACTCACTCGCTACCTCCCATTCGCAAACCAGATTACTTGTGAAAACACTTAATCCTACCCGCACCCCCAAGCACATAGAAGCGGGAGAGGGCAGAGCCAGGGGGGAACTTGCAGCTGACACTGCACGGGAAGGGGTAAGTGAGTTTGTGTGTGAAGGAGCAGCAGAGGCTGCAGAGGATGGGGCAGCAAAGGCTGCACGGGAAGGGGCAATGGGGGTTGTGGGGGAAGGGGCAGCAGAGGCTGCAGAGGAGAGGGCAGCAGAGGCTGCAAGGGAAGGGGCAGCAGCGGCTGCACGGGAAAGGGCGGCAGGGGCTGCACGGGAAGGGGCGGCAGGGACCGTGACTCTGGCCAGGCAAGGGGCAGAGGCCATGGAGACAGGTTTTGCAGGAGTAGGGGCCACGGAACCGGCTGCTGTGTCGGCTGGGGGAACCGCAGCAGAGGAGGCTATAGGGACCGCACCAGGTGAGGCCGCACAGACCACAGCAGGTGTGGCTGCAGGGATCACAACGGGTGAGGCTGCAGGAGGGACCATGGCAGGTGAGGCCGCAGGGAGCGCAGTAGGTGAGGCTGCAGGGAGCGCAGCAGGTGAGGCTGTAGGGGGCGCAGCAGGTGAGGCTGCAGAGAGCGCAGCAGGTGAGGCCGCAGGGAGCGCAGCAGGCGGGACTGCAGGGGCCGCAGCAGGTGAGACTGCGGCGGACGCAGCAGGTGAGGCTGCGAGGGCTGCATCATGTAAGGTTGGGCAGACTCTAGCAGGTGAGGCTGCACAGTCTACAGCTGGTGAGGTCGCAGGGACTGCAACAGGTGAGGCCGCAGGGACTGCAGCAGGTGAGGCGGCAGGGACCACAGCGGATGAGGCTGCAGGCGGGACCATGGCAGGTGAGGCCGCAGGGAGCGCAGCAGGTGAGGCTGAAATAGCCGCAGCAGGTGAGGCTGCAGAGGCCGCAGCATGTGAGGTTGAGCAGATTCTAGCAGGTGAGGCTGCACAGACTGCAGCAGGTGAGGCCGCAGGGACTGCAGCGGGTGAGGCTGCAGGGACTGCAGCACGTGAGCCTGCAGGGACCGCGGCAGGCAAGGCTGCAGGGATCGCGGCTGGTGAGGCTGAGCAGATTACGGTAGGCGAGGTTTTACAGACTGCAGCAGTCGAGGCTGCAAGGACTGCAGCAGGAGCGACAGAGGCCACAGTGGGGGCTGGTATAGGGGGAGGTGCTACGGGTGCAGCGGGGAAGGGGGTAACGGGGACTGGTGCGAGGGAGAGTGCCGCCCCGGCTGTAGCAAGAGAGGGTACGGCAGGGGCTAGAGTGGGAGAGGGGACAGCAGTGGCCTCAAAGGCAGAAGGTGAGGCTGCAGCTGAAGCAGCAGGGAGGGCCATAGCACGGCCAGTAGGGGCGGCAGGGGCCGCAGCAAACGCGGGGAAACACACAGCAGGGCCGGCAGGGCCGGCAAGGACTGCAAAAGGGGCTAGCAGTAAAGCGGCAGCAGGCGGGGTGGGCTCGGGGGACATAGGGGCAACAGGGGAAGGAGAGGTGAGTGTGGTCCCGACCGGGGTGGGCACTGAAGAGGGGGATGTGATAGCGATAGAGGAGGATGAGGGAGAGGATGTGATGCACATTGACGGGCCACTGGCCCAATACCTCACGCTTGACGGTGAGGCCGACCCGGCCCCCCTGCAGCCTCACGTCGAGGTTCCCCCTCTACCCCCCATGCCCGTCCCCATGCTAGCAGAAGGACCGATGGAGGGGCTGGGGGAGACCTTGAGGACAGAGCCGCGCGAGGGAGCCCCCATCCTCACCTCCCGTCCTCCAGCCCACCCACCCCCAGGAGCACCACTTCCCCACCCCCACCCTCAGGTCCCGGTAGTGTCCAGGGGGGCAGCCAAGGCCCTGGCCTTCTTGGCGGAGCCGTGCTCCCCGACCCCCACGCTGCTCCATGGCCAGCCCCCCTCTCCAGTCCCCAACGCCTGACCCCACGGTTGCAGGCGGTCCACCGGGAGAGCACGCGGGTGCGACAAGAGCAGAGCCACCCGAGGGCACCCCTTCTCTCACCCCTCACCCCTCCCCGCCCCTTCCCTCACTCCTTCCTTCACCCCCAAGGGCAGCACACCTCTGCCCCCACCCTCAGGGGCTCCTTAGAGCACCACGTGGAGCAGCCAGGGCTCTGGTCTTCCTAGAGGAGCCATGCTCCCCGACTCCTACCAACACCCAGCCACCCCCTAGCCGGCCCACTACCCCCTCCTCCACCAGGCCCCCCCCCACCCGGTAGTACACACATCTCGGAGGTTGAAGCATTCTCTGCGGCCAAATCCCTCTCCCACACGCTACAGGCACCCAAACCACCCGAGTCGCCGCACAGCCCCAACACGCCCACCCAACAGGCTGCCCTCCCCACACCACCCCCCCCAGGCAGCCGAGACCCACCCGCAAGGGCTTGCGCCCCAGGCTCATGGGAGCGGCGGCACCCGGGTAGAGGGGCCCACAGGAGAGGCCACCACAGGGCCCACACAAATCTCTCTCCCCCCACCGTTTGTACCTCGCTCTAACCTCCACACTGGCCCAGCCCCTCGACCCCCACCTCCAACCCCCTCTCCCGGCCGGGTTCCCCACGAGTGGCCCCGTTGGGCAGCCATCACCCCCCACACACAGCTTGCCCGATCTGTTCCCACGGAGGGGGATGTTTCGAGGAGAGAGGGGATGCACACAGAGCACCCCCCGCCTGGCGAACCACCCATCCTCCCTCCACCCACCCCTTTGGCCCCACAGCCCCCCCTTCCTTCACAAACAGGCGCGGACAACCAGGTTGGCCGCCGGCGGAAGAACAGGGGCAGAGGGTCAGCCCACGTACTCCCCCCTCCCTCCCTCCCCCACCAAGAGCCCCTCCCTACCTCACATCCCGTTGAACCCTTACCAGGCCCTACCTCTACAGCCCGACCACCAAACCTACACTCCCGCCCCGCTCCTGCACCTCCACAGGGCCATGGGAGCGGTCCAGCCCACTCACCCCCATTCTGCCCCTCCCGTGCTGTGTCCCCCTCCCAGGTGGCGGCGGCCGCGATCGCTACTGGGAGGGAGGCCGTCGGGTTGAGGGATGCGCCCATGGCAGACGCCACCGACTCCCCCTCCCATCCCTCCCACCCCTTCCATGTCGACGACCCCCTACCGCAACCCATGGTGATTGGGGAGGGCCAAGGGGGCCTTCTAGGGCAGGGTCCACACCCGAGCTCCGCTCAGCCAGCACGCCCCACTCCACCCTCTACCCTGCCAGCCCTCCTACTCTCACCTACAGGCAGGCAGGTCTTCGAGACCCCAGAGGAGGTGAGGGCTGGCATTTCAGATTTGCTGGCGATACACCGCCTGAGCAGCTCTCCGGCTGCCCCCACCCTTCCAGTCCCACAGGACCGGACCCGGACGTATGCGGAGGTCACCCGGTCTGTCCCTTCTTTTATCCCCCCCGCCACTCAGCTAGGCGCGTCACTCCCGACCCCAATGGAGACGGACCGGGTTCTGAGGCCGTGTCACTCGCACCTAGACGGGGTGACGCCTCCCCCCGTTCAGCCCGTGGCGCAGGAGGTCACCAGCAGTAGGGATGAAGCATCCGCCCCTACCGAGACCCCTCCGCCTGGGGTAGCAGAGCCGTCACTTGAACCGCACCCCGCCGAGGGGCAGGAGCACACCACGGCACACACTTCAGGCTCACCTCCACGTCCCCCCTCCCCAGCTTCGACACCGGTACCGGCACGAGGCCCGGCCCTATCCTGTGCGACACCACCTCTATCTTCGCTGACGTCCCCCCCGCGCGGGGCTGGTGAGCCGTCTCCTCCCCTCATCCCAGGCGATCCTCTCGGAGCTCAGGCCGCCCACGGGGTCCCCTCTACAGCCAGTTCCGACGCCACGGCCCCGATTGACCCCGCCGACACGGCGACATCACCCGACCAGGTCGTGAGTTGCCCCACCTGCAGGAGCTCTCTCGCGAACCGACGCGCGCTCCAGCACCACATTCCCTTCTGCCATCCTGCGGACGCGGCTCGCAGGGCGCAGGCTGCCCATGATACCGCCTCGATCATCCCTTCCCTCTCACAGCCCCGTGCGACCGGGATGCAGTTCACCGACGCACAGTGGCAGACAGCTTGACTCGGTGGACTGGACAGAGTACTTCTCGCCCGAGCGTATCCATACACGCCCTCTCCGACGTGTCCCGGAGAGGGTCCGCGGAGGATATCTTGACGTCCTCAGTGCGATCCTAGTCCGCATTGCCCTAGGACCCGGAGGCTGCTGGCCCTACCTTCCTCCTCGCTGCAGCGCCGACTCTTTTCCTTGTTCCAGCGACGCCACCCGACCGCTCGCACACGGCTGCCATTGCAGCGCGCATCTCCCGCTTTGGTCGAGGTGAGTGGGCTGAGCTAGTCTCAGATGCACTAGGCCAGTCGCACACCCCTTCCTCGGCGCACAGGTCACCGGTCACGCACCGCCACCGATCCCTCTACAGCAGATGAGCGCCGCATTGCACGTTGCCTTCGTCTGGCAGCGTGCAATGAGACCTCACGGGCGTGCGCGGCTCTCGAGTCCGCGGAGGCAGCCCCAGATACACAGGGGACGATACAGCGCCTGCAGTCGAAGCACCCCAACGCGGAGAGGCCGACCCCAGCTTGGCTGTCTGGCTTCCAGGGGTCCCCTCTTGTGCTCTCGGTGGACGCCGTATCGTTCGCGATTTTCACAGCTCCGCGGGGCTCTTCGGGAGGACCGTCCGGTTGGGTCGCTGAGCACCTGCGAGACACTTTCTTAGCTTTCCCTCAGAGTCTCCATTTCCTCCTGGCCGTGTACCAGCAGTGGCTCCGAGGCCGTTGCGCTCCAGCTGCACGCTCCTTGCTAGCGTCTTCCACCCTCGTGGCTCTGGCGAAGTCGAACATGGATGTTCGGCCGATTGCCATCGGCGAGGTTTTGGTCCGCATTCTTTCTCGTGCAGTCTGTCTCCAGCTACGTGACCAGATGGCGAGGGTCTTCTTGGCGTCACAGCAGTTTGGGGTGGGGGTTATGTGCGGGACAGAGGTCGTAGTTAGAGGCGTCCGCCGCGCCCTGGCTGACCACCCAGACTGGGTGGTCCTGCAGCTAGACGTGGCGAATGCCTTTAACTCTTTCCACCGAGACAGGATGTTCCAGGCGCTGCAGGCCAGCCCGGAGTTTCAGTGTCTGATCCCCTTCATCGGCCTCTTCTACGGGACGCCCTCGGATCTCCACTACAGGTCAGGCACGGGAGTGGTCACGATGCACTCGGAGCGGGGCACTCGCCAGGGAGACCCTCTCAGCCCCTTCTTGTACGCTCTGACACAGCGTCTTGCTTTGGAGCCGGTTCTGGCGGAGGGGGATGTCCAGCTCTGGTCGTACGCCGATGACACGTACGTGCTAGGTCCCCCAGACAGGGTGCTGCACCACTTTGCCGAGATCGTGAGGCGCTTGGGCGAGATGGGCCTTGCAGCCCAGCCGCACAAGTGCCTCGTCTACCAGACGGAGTCCTTTCTGTCCAGGGATCTGGAGGCTTTCACGGGCCTAGGGATCGAGGTCGCACGCCGAGGGCTCACCGTGACAGGCGTACCGGTAGGCACCGTTTCGTTCGTGGAGCAGAGTCTCCCGGATCGTCTCGAGAGGATGGGGCGGGTGCTACCTTGGCTTCCAAGGTTGCGCCAGCCCCAGACAGCTGCCCGCCTCCTTTCGGCGTGTGTCAGCACTCGTCCGCAGTACCTGTCGAGGACCGTCCCTCCTTCGCCCGCAGTGATCTCCAGTTTTACACGGTGGGACGCACGCCTGGGAGAGACATTTCAGCAGCTTTTAGCTTCAGGGACCTGGGCTTGTCGCGAGGACGTCCGAGAGGCCGCCCTAGACCAGATCTTCCTCCCCATCCGTCTCGGGGGTTTCGGCATTCGTCGCATGGCGCGCATTGCCCCGGTGAGCTTCGTGTGCTCCTGGGTGCAGTGTGCACCCATTCTCTGTTCTCTCCCTGCGTGTGGCGAGGTGTTTCGGCAGAGCTTCGCTTCAGGTGAGCCAGAGCAGATCGACCGGGCTCTGCAGACGGCGCTAGAGGGTCTCCCACCTGACGTTCTCTCTCTCCTTCCCCCCTGGCCCTCTTGCGCTTCTGCCTCCCCCGATTCCCTTTTTGCAGGAGCGAGCCGTCTTCTGGAGGCGCATGCCTTGGAGGCCGTGCGTGCCCGTCACGCCTCTCCCTTGCACCTTGCCCGTTTGACTTCCCTTCAGGGCGGAGGTGCAGGGGCGTGGTTGACGTCGGTGCCGTACGCCGACCCACTGCGCATCCCGGAGGCGCTGTGGCAGGCGGCTTCATCTTCTCGTCTTGGTCTCCCTATCCCCCAGTTAGCCCTTGCAGGTCAGTGCTCCTGCGGACAGGCGATTGACGACATGACGGTGCCTCATCACGCGGTTCGGTGCCCGCGCTACGGGGTCGCCACTACCATCCACGACACGGTGAAGTACATGCTTCGAGACTTTGCGGTCGAGGCGGGCTTCGCGGTAAAGGTGGAGGACTCTACGCTGTTCACACAGTTGGAGGCGGCTCGAGCGAGACTACTGGGACAGCCAGTGGTGGGAGAGGGGACACGGGCTGAGGGACCGGGGGAGCGGAGAGGCGAGGCGGGACAGCCGGGTGGCGGGGGACAGTGGGGACGGCACCAGCTGCGGGGTCAGGTGGAGCGAGGGACAGGTGGGCAGAGGGGACGGCAGGGGGAGCAGACGGGCCAGGACGGGGAGGGGGGACGGCACAGGCAGCAGCAGGAGAGCCAGTGGAGGCCGCGGGCCCAGGGCGCCGCGCCTCCAGGTTCGGCCTCGGGGGCGGGGCAGGGGCGGGAGCAGCAGAGAGCGGACGGAGGTACAGGAGGGGCAGCGGGATTGGGAGGGGAGGGCCAGGGAGTGAGAGAGGCAGCAGGGGATGGAGCAGGGGGGTCGGGAGGTTTGGGGGAGGGTAGAGAGGGGGAGGGGAGAGGACAGGTGGATGGAGGAGAGGAGAGGGGGAGAGAGACGATCGGAGAGGGGGCACCAAGGGACCAGACAGGGCAGCAGCCAGCGCAACAGCAGGGACCAGTCGGACGCACAGGCCGTGTAGGCACCTGCCTCCCGCATTCCAGATCTCACCTGCCGCGACGTTGGCCAGGGTCTGATGGTTCTTGTGGATGTCTCCATAGCGGATCCACAGCGGGAGGGGAACGTGCAGCTGAGACGGGCGACCCCCACACAGATTGGAGTGGCAGCAGCTAGGCGGGTGCAGGAGAAGCTGCGTCACTGGGGGCCGCACTTAGAGGGGCTGCAGCCGGCACCACACTTTTACGCGTGCGTGGCGGAGACCTTTGGCCTTCTGAGTGAGCCGATGCGTCAGTTTCTGGGGCTCTGCGCAAAGAGGATAGCACAGCGGAGGAGGGATAGAGGTGGGGGGGATGACGGATCGGCACGGATATTTGAGGCAGGACTCACTACACGCCTCTCCGTTGCACTGCAGCGCGCGCAGGCTCAATGCATGATCCAGCATGCGGTGCGGCAGTTAGGGAGGTCCGACGACGGGTGGATGCCCGCACCAGTCCCACTGGGTGCGGGGCAGGGAACTTGGCACCACGTCACAGGGTGCTTCGAGAGTGTGGCTGATATGCAGTATATATATGATGCATATGTGTAAAAAACAATAGTGGCTGTGCTTGAAACGCTGTGCCCGTGCGGTCGTGCGGGTTGCTGCCGTGTTTGGTCCTTTGGTGCTTCCTCCTCCTTAGTCTCTCTCCCTCTCTCCTCTTCTCTTCCCACCTCCCTCTTTCTGTTCCCTTCTTCTATCCTTCCCTTCTCTTCCTACCACCCTCTTCCTTTCCCTACCACTTCTTCTTACTCCTTCATCTTTCCTTCCTTTCCTTTCTTTCCCCCTTTTCCTACAAAATATATATACCGTCCTCATAGCGATTAGGCTATGTCGAAATTTCCTAGTCTTGGAAAAACCATTATATTCGGCTTGTATTTGCTCTTCCCTTATTAATGAATAACTGCTCTCGCCCACCGGCGCTTAGCTTCGGAGTTCTGATGGGATCCGGCGTAGTAGCCGAGGTATGATCGTACCACGTCAACCCCGTGCCCCGACCGGTACACACCCCTTGCCCGGGTCCCCCCTTCATAGTCACACCCCCTGCCCCCTCATGCCATCCGCTCCCCCCGCCCCTACCCTCCGCGTGCCCGCTCCCTTGCCGCCTCTTTTGACCCTCCCTGCCCCCCTCGCCGTTTCCCACCGCCCGCCATTCGCTCCTCCCCGCCCGTGCGCTCCCCTCGTTTACCTTCTCCTCCCCCCTCCCCTCCTCTGCTGCACGCCTCTTCCTTCCCCTCGCCGACCCACTCCACTCCCTGCCCCTCCTCAATCCGCACCCTGCCCCTCGTATCTCGCCCCCCTATGCTTGGTTTCTCCCCTCCCTGCCCCTCGCCGCCTTTCTCCGCCCCCCACCTCCCCCCTCTCCCTGCCCCCCCACTCTCCCACCCTTGCCCTTGGCTTCCTACCTCCCTGCCCCACCTTTCCCCCCTCTGTGTGCTCAGCTTCTCCCCTCCCTGCCCCTCCCTCCTCCCCGCCCTGCCCCTCGTTTTCCGCCCCCCCCACGCCCGGTTTCTCCCCTCCCCGCGCCTCCCTTTCTTTCTCCGTGCCTCTCCTCTGCTCCCTCCCTGCCCCCGCCTGCCCATGCCCCTGTCTTTGGCTTCTCCCCTCCCTGCCCCACGTTTCTTCCCTCCCTGCCCCCCCCTCTGCCCCTCCCTTGTTTTCCCCTCACCCATTGCTTCTCCCCTCCCTGCCCTTGATTTCCCGCACCCCTGCCCTTGTTTCCTACCATCCATGCCCCTCGTTTCCCCCCCTTTGTACGTTCAGCCTCTTCCCTCCCTGCCCCTCCCTTCCTCCCCCCCTGCCCTTTGCTCTCCCCTCGTTACGCTCCCTTCTCCCCATCCCTGCTGCCCTCTTACCACCATCAGCCCATCCCCACCACCAGCCCCCCTCCCACCCTTCTCTCCCCCCCTCCCTTTCCCTCTCTCTCTTTCTCACACACACACACGCACACTCCCCTCCCCCACCCCCCACCCACATCCTCCCATTCTGCCCCTCCCTGCCCCTTTCCCACCCCCTCGCACGCCCCTCACCTCCCACCTCCGTGCAACTGGTTTCCCCCCCTATGGTGCCTCCCTTGCATCGCTCGCCCCTCTGCTCACCCTCTGCCCGCCCCTTTTCCGTGCCCTCAGCTGGCCCAGCCCCTGCCCGTTGCTGCCCCTCCCCTTGCCCCCTCAACTCCCCTGCCCCCCGTACACCCCAGTCCCATCCAACCGCCCCCACCCTCCCCCGGCTGCCCGTTTCCGCTCTCCACCCCCGCGACCGTGTGCGGCTTCCAACCGCCCAACGGTGGTGCGCACGGGGCGTTTCTTCGCACGGGCAAGCCTCCCCGGGGGCCCCCCACCCCGCTGGGTCGTTGTTCGGGCAAAAAAAACGAAAATGAAAAAATCGGACGCGCTGAAATCGTCCTTTCTTTTTCCCGCTTGCCCCTCCCCCGGCACGTGCCGAGCAAGGGGCATAAATGGGTACAACACGAGGACTTCCCGGGAGGTCACCCAGCCCAGTACTGCTCTCGCCCACCGGCGCTCTTACCTTGACCTAGCTTACCTAGCCATGGCTGCCTACTAAGGAGCCTCCCTAAACCTACTATTTCGAGTTGCTTAAGGACAAAGTGATTGTGATAGTTGTTTATGTTATAGTTATAAGCGTTTCCAACGGTTAGTTTTCCAGTTTCGACTGTCGAGTTCGACGGGACGGGGGTCGCGAGTTTCGCGCGCGACCCTGAGGAGTCTCGGAAACGGAACTCGCGGGGTGTTACGGAACCGCTTGTTCGACCCCGCCATCGCGGGAAGGCTGCGGACGCGCTGCAGCCGGTGTAACGGGAGGTGGGGCGTTGACGCGAAGTTCGCCCGCGGAGTGTAACAGCGCGCGCGACTCACAACCACAACTCCGCCAGACACGGTGTTCCCGCCCATCCCCTCTCTCGACACTCTCCCTTATCCCCCCGCTCTTTTCTGCCCACGGCTTTTCTATTCGAAGCGATTAGCTACTACCGATTTTCTTCCCACGGTTTCCCTCTCTCGAAGTCACTGAGCTTAGCTTCCGCCCGTAGTTAGCATTCTTCCTTCCCTTTCAGTGCGCCCTTCTTTATCGAAACCCTAATTCGAAGAGCCGCGCGTTTTCAAGCACGCTTTCTCGTCGCCTGTCATGTTTAGTCACGCACTCATTTTCCCCGCCTGTTCAATCTAGCCGCGACGTAGACAGAACCGCGCACGAGGCGCTTACCGCCAGGGAAAGGCAGCGCGGAGGGAGGCGAAATTGCTACGTTCGTAGCGATTAAGCAGCCCTCCCCTTGCGCGCCTCCCGAAGCGCGTTTTCTGCCTAGAGCGTTTTAGCCGCCCACGTTTGGCACACAAGCCGCCCCACTCCCCCTTTGCTCACTCCCACCCTGCCATGCCTCGTCGCGCACTCGTGCATGCCACCCACACGTCGTAATCTTACCCCGTCGCCACCCACATATTCACCTTCCTGCTCACACCGCCCCTTTCCCCCTCACACGCGCGCTTTAGCCACCCCGCCACCTAACCTCTTTCCCTAACGGCGCTTAGCTAGCAGAGGCCGCCCTGTCTCTGGAAACCGTAGGAAATAAGGGGAAACAACTTCAAGGAAAAAAAAAGAAAATATTCATATAAATCGGAAAAAAACCAGAAAAAATCAGAAAGGCAGCTTACACCTTGTTCTCCCAACCCTCCAGGGCCCCATCCAGTCCGCCACCCCCCCATTCTGTTTCATCATACTGCACCACACCCTCCCCTTTTGCCCACCAGCATTACCGCCCCTTCTCCCCTTATCCCCCACCACGCCCCCAAGCAGGCTTTTCTCCCCCCAGCCTCCCGTCTCCCTGCCCTTAGTACCGCCGCGCTCTGCCCGTGCGTCACCCTTGCCCACTTCATACCACCTCCCCCTTCTCCCCCCCCCCCGGCTTCTCCCTATCATCACCCGCATGTTCCCCCACTCCCCTGTCCACAACGTCCCTCCTCCACCCCCCCTCCTGCCTTCCCCACTCCCACTCTGCCCCCCACACCTCTACGAGCCGTACCTTCCCCCTCCAGCCTCCCTTTCCCCCCCAGCTACTTCCGCATCCAGCGTGGGCTGCACCTCTGCATCCCGCCCTGCCAGGCCCTTCGGTGACCCAACTGCCGCCACCTGGCACCACGCCGCCTTTCCCACCCCCATCCAATCTCTACACCCCCTGCCCCTGCTCCCTGCGCAATCCAGCCACCTACCCCAGCCTCCCTCTACCTCTCCCTAACTCCACACCGCCGTTCCTACCCCCAGCCAAGGTCTACACCCCTTGCTTTTGCTCCCTGTGCTGTGCCGTCCCCAACCTCCGTCCGCCTTTCCGCGGCACCAGACCGCCTCTCCCTCCCCCAGCCAACCTCTGCACCCCCTGTTCCTGCCCCTTGTGCCTTCCAACACCCTACCTCAACCCCCCCCAGTCTCCCCCTTCTCCAACACCCTCCATATTTCCTCCCCCCTGGGGCTCGCCCATCCGCAGTTATCACCCTTCATCGATTCCCCAATTCCCTCTGTCCCCTGTTTCCCGGCCCCGCATCCTATTCTGCATTTACCACAGCGCCTCCTTTCGGTGCCCTCTCTGCCCTCCCACGTTCTCACCCCCCGCCTCCCAACCTTCTCATTACCCGCTACCAGGCTCACGCCAACTCGACTACCCACTACCCTTTGCCCCTTCCTCTCTGTTCCCCACCCTTCCTTCCCCACTTGGCTCCACCTGCCCACCCCCACCTCCCGTGGAATTCTGCCCTGCCCTCCCCACCTCTGGCCCACCACCTGTCCCCACACCCTGCTCACCCACCGCTACATCACCCCCGCCCCCCCACCTCCACTACAGCCCGCCAACACTTCCCCTCTCAACCGGCCCCCAGCCCGCCCCCCCCTTGGGCCCCAATCCCCTCCAACTGTCAGGCCCCCTCTACCCTCTCTTCCACCCACTGCGCACCGCTTTCCCCACCCTTTTCCCTTTCCCCAAGCTAACCCCCCGCACCCCGGCCTCTGCCAGGGAGTTCCTTCCCCCTTTGACGCCCTCTTGAGCCAACTCCAGCAACTCACACCGCCACCGCCAGGCATGCTGCCTCTGTAACAATGCCCCAGCACCCCGCGAGTGGGGAAAGGCAGACCCGGGAGCCCCTCGGCGATCTGGGAGGTCCCGCAGCCGAGCCACCCCCTACTCTCCCACTCCCCCCACTTCAACAGTCAGGAAGAAACAACACACACCTGACCAAGCGAAAACACTCACACAATCTGACCCTAGGGGCCAGAAGCGTACCCTTGAAGAGGATGGAACAGAGGAACGCCAAGCCCCACTGGAGGAAATACACGAGGAGGAGCCAGCACGCTCAAAACCGCGCCCTACCCCCGCTGCCCCATCCCAGCCTACCCCCCCTTCAGGTGACAGCGGGGGCGGCACCCATGCATGCTCAGTAGGAGAGATCCTCCAACTCACTCGCTACCTCCCATTCGCAAACCAGATTACTTGTGAAAACACTTAATCCTACCTAGCACCCCCAAGCACATAGAAGCGGGAGAGGGCAGAGCCAGGGGGGAACTTGCAGCTGACACTGCACGGGAAGGGGTAAGTGAAGTTTGTGTGTGAAGGAGCAGCAGAGGCTGCAGAGGATGGGGCAGCAAAGGCTGCACGGGAAGGGGCAATGGGGGTTGTGGGGGAAGGGGCAGCAGAGGTTGCAGAGGAAAGGGCAGCAGAGGCTGCAAGGGAAGGGGCAGCAGCGGCTGCACGGGAAAGGGCGGCAGAGGCTGCACGGGAAGGGGCGGCAGGGACCGTGACTCTGGCCAGGCAAAGGGCAGAGGCCATGGAGACAGGTTTTGCAGGAGTAGGGGCCACGGAACCTGCTGCTGTGTCGGCTGGGGGAACCGCAGCAGAGGAGGCTATAGGGACCGCACCAGGTGAGGCCGCACAGACCACAGCAGGTGTGGCTGCAGGGATCACAACGGGTGAGGCTGCAGGAGGGACCATGGCAGGTGAAGGCCGCAGGGAGCGCAGTAGGTGAGGCTGCAGGGAGCGCAGCAGGTGAGGCTGTAGGGGGCGCAGCAGGTGAGGCTGCAGAGAGCGCAGCAGGTGAGGCCGCAGGGAGCGCAGCAGGCGAGGCTGCAGGGAGCGCAGCAGGCGAGGCTGCAGGGAGCGCAGCAGGCGGGGCTGCAGGGGCCGCAGCAGGTGAGGCTGCGGCGGACGCAGCAGGTGAGGCTGCGAGGGCTGCATCATGTAAGGTTGGGCAGACTCTAGCAGGTGAGGCTGCACAGTCTACAGCTGGTGAGGTCGCAGGGACTGCAACAGGTGAGGCCGCAGGGACTGCAGCAGGTGAGGCGGCAGGGACCACAGCGGATGAGGCTGCAGGCGGGACCAGGGCAGGTGAGGCCGCAGGGAGCGCAGCAGGTGAGGCTGAAATAGCCGCAGCAGGTGAGGCTGCAGAGGCCGCAGCATGTGAGGTTGAGCAGATTCTAGCAGGTGAGGCTGCACAGACTGCAGCAGGTGAGGCCGCAGGGACTGCAGCGGGTGAGGCTGCAGGGACTGCAGCACGTGAGGCTGCAGGGACCGCGGCAGGCAAGGCTGCAGGGATCGCGGCTGGTGAGGCTGAGCAGATTACGGTAGGCGAGGTTTTACAGACTGCAGCAGTCGAGGCTGCAAGGACTGCAGCAGGAGCGACAGAGGCCACAGTGGGGGCTGGTATAGGGGGAGGTGCTACGGGTGCAGCGGGGAAGGGGGTAACGGGGACTGGTGCGAGGGAGAGTGCCGCCCCGGCTGTAGCAAGAGAGGGTACGGCAGGGGCTAGAGTGGGAGAAGGGACAGCAGTGGCCTCAAAGGCAGAAGGTGAGGCTGCAGCTGAAGCAGCAGGGAGGGCCATAGCACGGCCAGTAGGGGCGGCAGGGGCCGCAGCAAACGCGGGGAAACACACAGCAGGGCCGGCAGGGCCGGCAGAGACTGCAAAAGGGGCTAGCAGTAAAGCGGCAGCAGGCGGGGTGGGCTCGGGGGACATAGGGGCAACAGGGGAAGGAGAGGTGAGTGTGGTCCCGACCGGGGTGGGCACTGAAGAGGGGGATGTGATAGCGATAGAGGAGGATGAGGGAGAGGATGTGATGCACATTGACGGGCCACTGGCCCAATACCTCACGCTTGACGGTGAGGCCGACCCGGCCCCCCTGCAGCCTCACGTCGAGGTTCCCCCTCTACCCCCCATGCCCGTCCCCATGCTAGCAGAAGGACCGATGGAGGGGCTGGGGGAGACCTTGAGGACAGAGCCGCGCGAGGGAGCCCCCATCCTCACCTCCCGTCCTCCAGCCCACCCACCCCCAGGAGCACCACTTCCCCACCCCCACCCTCAGGTCCCGGTAGTAGTCCAGGGGGGCAGCCAAGGCCCTGGCCTTCTTGGCGGAGCCGTGCTCCCCGACCCCCACGCTGCTCCATGGCCAGCCCCCCTCTCCGTCCCCAACGCCTGACCCCACGGTTGCAGGCGGTCCACCGGGAGAGCACGCGGGTGCGACAAGAGCAGAGTCACCCGAGGGCACCCCTTCTCTCACCTCTCACCCCTCCCCGCCCCTTCCCTCACTCCTTCCCTTCACCCCCAAGGGCAGCACACCTCTGCCCCCACCCTCAGGGGCTCCTTAGAGCACCACGTGGAGCAGCCAGGGCTCTGGTCCTTCCTAGAGGAGCCATGCTCCCCGACTCCTACCAACACCCAGCCACCCCCTACCGGCCCACTACCCCCCTCCTCCACCAGGCCCCCCCCCCACCCGGTAGTACACACATCTCGGAGGTTGAAGCATCTCTGCGGCCAAATCCCTCTCCCACACGCTACAGGCACCCAAACCACCCGAGTCGCCGCACAGCCCCAACACGCCCACCCAACAGGCTGCCCTCCCCACACCACCCCCCCCCAGGCAGCCGAGACCCACCCGCAAGGGCTTGCGCCCCAGGCTCATGGGAGCGGCGGCACCCGGGTAGAGGGGCCCACAGGAGAGGCCACCACAGAGCCCACACAAATCTCTCTCCCCCCACCGCTTTGTACCTCGCTCTAACCTCCACACTGGCCCAGCCCCTCGACCCCCACCTCCAACCCCCTCTCCCGGCCGGGTTCCCCACGAGTGGCCCCGTTGGGCAGCCATCACCCCCCACACACAGCCTTGCCCGATCTGTTCCCACGGAGGGGGATGTTTCGAGGAGAGAGGGGATGCACACAGAGCACCCCCCGCCTGGCGAACCACCCATCCTCCCTCCACCCACCCCTTTGGCCCCACAGCCCCCCCTTCCTTCACAAACAGGCGCGGACAACCAGGTTGGCCGCCGGCGGAAGAACAGGGGCAGAGGAGGCAGAGGGTCAGCCCACGTACTCCCCCCTCCCTCCCTCCCCCACCAAGAGCCCCTCCCCTACCTCACATCCCGTTGAACCCTTACCAGGCCCTACCTCTACAGCCCGACCACCAAACCTACACTCCCGCCCCGCTCCTGCACCTCCACAGGGCCATGGGAGCGGACCAGCCCACTCACCCCCATTCTGCCCCTCCCGTGCTGTGTCCCCCTCCCAGGTGGCGGCGGCCGCGATCGCTACTGGGATGGAGGCCGTCGGGTTGAGGGATGCGCCCATGGAAGACGCCACCGACTCCCCCTCCCATCCCTCCCACCCCTTCCATGTCGACGACCCCCTACCGCAACCCATGGTGATTGGGGAGGGCCAAGGGGGCCTTCTAGGGCAGGGTCCACACCCGAGCTCCGCTCAGCCAGCACGCCCCACTCCACCCTCTACCCTGCCAGCCCTCCTACTCTCACCTACAGGCAGGCAGGTCTTCGAGACCCCAGAGGAGGTGAGGGCTGGCATTTCAGATTTGCTGGCGATACACCGCCCTGAGCAGCTCTCCGGCTGCCCCCACCCTTCCAGTCCCACAGGACCGGACCCGGACGTATGCGGAGGTCACCCGGTCTGTCCCTTCTTTTATCCCCCCCGCCACTCAGCCAGGCGCGTCACTCCCGACCCCAATGGAGACGGACCGGGTTCTGAGGCCGTGTCACGCGCACCTAGATGGGGTGGCGCCTCCCCCCGTTCAGCCCGTGGCGCAGGAGGTCACCAGCAGTAGGGATGAGGCATCCGCCCCTACCGAGACCCCTCCGCCTGGGGTAGCAGAGCCGTCACTTGAACCGCACCCCGCCGAGGGGCAGGAGCACACCACGGCACACACTTCAGGCTCACCTCCACGTCCCCCCTCCCCAGCTTCGACACCGGTACCGGCACGAGGCCCGGCCCTATCCTGTGCGACACCACCTCTATCTTCGCTGACACCCCCCCATGCACGGGGCTGGTGAGTCGTCTCCTCCCCTCATCCCAGGCGATCCTCTCGGAGCTCAGGCCGCCCACGGGGTCCCCTCTACAGCCAGTTCCGACGCCACGGCCCCGATTGACCCCGCCGACACGGCGACATCACCCGACCAGGTCGTGAGTTGCCCCACCTGCAGGAGCTCTCTCGCGAACCGACGCGCGCTCCAGCACCACATTCCCTTCTGCCATCCTGCGGACGCGGCTCGCAGGGCGCAGGCTGCCCATGATACCGCCTCGATCATCCCTTCCCTCTCACAGCCCCGTGCGACCGGGATACAGTTCACCGACGCACAGTGGCAGACGCTCGACTCGGTGGACTGGACAGAGTACTTCTCGCCCGAGCGTATCCATACACGCCCTCTCCGACGTGTCCCGGAGAGGGTCCGCGGAGGATATCTCGACGTCCTCAGTGCGATCCTAGTCCGCATTGCCCAGGACCCGGAGGCTGCTGGCCCTACCTTCCTCCTCGCTGCAGCGCCGACTCTTTTCCTTGTTCCAGCGACGCCACCCGACCGCTCGCACACGGCTGCCATTGCAACGCGCATCTCCCGCTTTGGTCGAGGTGAGTGGGCTGAGCTAGTCTCAGATGCACTAGGCCGTCGCACACCCCTTCCTCGGCGCACAGGTCACCGGTCACGCACCGCCACCGATCCCTCTACAGCAGATGAGCGCCGCATTGCACGTTGCCTTCGTCTGGCAGCGTGCAATGAGACCTCACGGGCGTGCGCGGCTCTCGAGTCCGCGGAGGCAGCCCCAGATACACAGGGGACGATACAGCGCCTGCAGTCGAAGCACCCCAACGCGGAGAGGCCGACCCCAGCTTGGCAGTCTGGCTTCCAGGGGTCCCCTCTCGTGCTCTCGGTGGATCACTTACGCCGCGCGATTTTCACAGCTCCGCGGGGCTCTTCGGGAGGACCGTCCGGTTGGGTCGCTGAGCACCTGCGAGACACTTTCCTAGCTTTCCCTCAGAGTCTCCATTTCCTCCTGGCCGTGTACCAGCAGTGGCTCCGAGGCCGTTGCGCTCCAGCTGCGCGCTCCTTGCTAGCGTCTTCCACCCTCGTGGCTCTGGCGAAGTCGAACATGGATGTTCGGCCGATTGCCATCGGCGAGGTTTTGGTCCGCATTCTTTCTCGTGCAGTCTGTCTCCAGCTACGTGACCAGATGGCGAGGGTCTTCTTGGCGTCACAGCAGTTTGGGGTGGGGGTTACGTGCGGGACAGAGGTCGTAGTTAGAGGCGTCCGCCGCGCTCTGGCTGACCACCCAGACTGGGTGGTCCTGCAGCTAGACGTGGCGAATGCCTTTAACTCTTTCCACCGAGACAGGATGTTCCAGGCGCTGCAGGCCAGCCCGGAGTTTCAGTGTCCTGATCCCCTTCATCGGCCTCTTCTACGGGACGCCCTCGGATCTCCACTACAGGTCAGGCACGGGAGTGGTCACGATGCACTCGGAGCGGGGCACTCGCCAGGGAGACCCTCTCAGCCCCTTCTTGTACGCTCTGACACAGCGTCTTGCTTTGGAGCCGGTTCTGGTGGAGGGGGATGTCCAGCTCTGGTCGTACGCCGATGACACGTACGTGCTAGGTCCCCCAGACAGGGTGCTGCACCACTTTGCCGAGATCGTGAGGCGCTTGGGCGAGATGGGCCTTGCAGCCCAGCCGCACAAGTGCCTCGTCTACCAGACAGAGTCCTTTCTGTCCAGGGATCTGGAGGCCTTTCACGGGCCTAGGGATCGAGGTCGCACGCCGAGGGCTCACCGTGACAGGCGTACCGGTAGGCACCGTTTCGTTCGTGGAGCAGAGTCTCCCGGATCGTCTCGAGAGGATGGGGCGGGTGCTACCTTGGCTTCCGAGGTTGCGCCAGCCCCAGACAGCTGCCCGCCTTCTGTCGGCGTGTGTCAGCACTCGTCCGCAGTACCTGTCGAGGACCGTCCCTCCTTCGCCCGCAGTGATCTCTAGTTTTACACGGTGGGACGCACGCCTGGGAGAGACATTTCAGCAGCTTTTAGCTTCAGGGACCTGGGCTTGTCGCGAGGACGTCCGAGAGGCCGCCCTAGACCAGATCTTCCTCCCCATCCGTCTCGGGGGTTTCGGCATTCGTCGCATGGCACGCATTGCCCCGGTGAGTTTCGTGTGCTCCTGGGTGCAGTGTGCTCCCATTCTCTGTTCTCTCCCTGCGTGTGGCGAGGCGTTTCGGCAGAGCTTCGCTTCAGGTGAGCCAGAGCAGATCGACCGGGCTCTGCAGACGGCGCTAGAGGGTCTCCCACCTGACGTTCTCTCTCTCCTTCCCCCCTGGCCCTCTTGCGCTTCTGCCTCCCCCGATTCCCTTTTTGCAGGAGCGAGCCGTCTTCTGGAGGCGCATGCCTTGGAGGCCGTGCGTGCCCGTCACGCCTCTCCCTTGCACCTTGCCCGTTTGACTTCCCTTCAGGGCGGAGGTGCAGGGGCGTGGTTGACGTCGGTGCCGTACGCTGACCCACTGCGCATCCCGGAGGCGCTGTGGCAGGCGGCTTCATCTTCTCGTCTTGGTCTCCCTATCCCCCAGTTAGCCCTTGCAGGTCAGTGCTCCTGCGGACAGGCGATTGACGACATGACGGTGCCTCATCACGCGGTTCGGTGCCCGCGCTACGGGGTCGCCACTACCATCCACGACACGGTGAAGTACATGCTTCGAGACTTTGCGGTCGAGGCGGGCTTCGCGGTAAAGGTGGAGGACTCTACGCTGTTCACACAGTTGGAGGCGGCTCGAGCGAGACTACTGGGACAGCCAGTGGTGGGAGAGGGGACGCGGGCTGAGGGACCGGGGGAGCAGAGAGGCGAGGCGGGATCAGCCGGGTGGCGGGGGACAGTGGGGACAGCACCAGCTGCGGGGTCAGGTGGAGCGAGGGATAGGTGGGCAGAGGGGACGGCAGGGGGAGCAGACGGGCCAGGACGGGGAGGGGAGACGGCACAGGCAGCAGCAGGAGAGCCAGTGGAGGCCGCGGGCCCAGGGCGCCGCGCCTCCAGGTTCGGCCTCGGGGGTGGGGCAGGGGCGGGAGCAGCAGAGAGCGGACGGAGGTACAGGAGGGGCAGCGGGATTGGGAGGGGAGGGCCAGGGAGTGAGAGAGGCAGCAGGGGATGGAGCAGGGGGGTCGGGAGGGTTGGGGGAGGGTAGAGAGGGGGAGGGGAGAGGACAGGTGGATGGAGGAGAGGAGAGGGGGAGAGAGACGATCGGAGAGGAGGCACCAAGGGACCAGACAGGGCAGCAGCCAGCGCAACAGCAGGGACCAGTCGGACGCACAGGCCGTGTAGGCACCGCCTCCCGCATCCCAGACCTCACCTGCCGCGACGTTGGCCAGGGTCTGATGGTTCTTGTGGATGTCTCCATAGCGGATCCACAGCGGGAGGGGAACGTGCAGCTGAGACGGGCGACCCCCACACAGATTGGAGTGGCAGCAGCTAGGCGGGTGCAGGAGAAGCTGCGGCACTGGGGGCCGCACTTAGAGGGGCTGCAGCCGGCACCACACTTTTACGCGTGCGTGGCGGAGACCTTTGGCCTTCTGAGTGAGCCGCTGCGTCAGTTTCTGGGGCTCTGCGCAAAGAGGATAGCACAGCGGAGGAGGGATAGAGGTGGGGGGGATGACGGATCGGCACGGATATTTGAGGCAGGACTCACTACACGCCTCTCCGTTGCACTGCAGCGCGCGCAGGCTCAATGCATGATCCAGCATGCGGTGCGGCAGTTAGGGAGATCCGACGACGGGTGGATGCCCGCACCAGTCCCACTGGGTGCGGGGCAGGGTACTTGGCACCACGTCACAGGGTGCTTCGAGAGTGTGGCTGATATGCAGTATATATATGATGCATATGTGTAAAAAACAATAGTGGCTGTGCTTGAAACGCTGTGCCCGTGCGGTCGTGCGGGTTGCTGCCGTGTTTTGGTCCTTTGGTGCTTCCTCCTCCTTAGTCTCTCTCCCTCTCTCCTCTTCTCTTCCCACCTCCCTCTTTCTGTTCCCTTCTTCTATCCTTCCCTTCTCTTCCTACCACCCTCTTCTTTTCCCTACCACTTCTTCTTACTCCTTCATCCTTCCTTCCTTTCCTTTCTTTCCCCCTTTTCCTACAAAATATATATACCGTCCTCATAGCGATTAGGCTATGTCGAAATTTCCTAGTCTTGGAAAAACCATTATATTCGGCTTGTATTTGCTCTTCCCCTATTAATGAATAACTGCTCTCGCCCACCGGCGCTTAGCTTCGGAGTTCTGATGGGATCCGGCGTAGTAGCCGAGGTATGATCGTACCACGTCAACCTCGTGCCCCGACCGCTACACACCCCTTGCCCGGGTCCCCCCCTTCATAGTCACACCCCCTGCCCCCTCATGCCATCCGCTCCCCCCGCCCCTACCCTCCGCGTGCCCGCTCCCTTGCCGCCTCTTTTGACCCTCCCTGCCCCCCTCGCCGTTTCCCACCGCCCGCCATTCGCTCCTCCCCGCCCGTGCGCTCCCCTCCTTTACCTTCTCCTCCCCCCTCCCCTCCTCTGCTGCACGCCTCTTCCTTCCCCTCGCCGACCCACTCCACTCCCTGCCCCTCCTCAATCCGCACCCTGCCCCTCGTATCTCGCCCCCCTATGCTTGGTTTCTCCCCTCCCTGCCCCTCGCCGCCTTTCCCCGCTCCCCACCTCCCCCCTCTCCCTGCCCCCCCACTCTCCCCCCCTTGTCCTTGGCTTCCTACCTCCCTGCCTCACCTTTCCCCCCTCCGTGTGCTCAGCTTCTCCCCTCCCTGCCCCTCCCTCCTCCCCGCCCTGCCCCTCATTTTCCGCCCCCCCCACGCCCGGTTTCTCCCCTCCCCGCGCCTCCCTTTCTTTCTCCGTGCCTCTCCTTTGCTCCCTCCCTGCCCCCGCCTGCCCATGCCCCTGTCTTTGGCTTCTCCCCTCCCTGCCCCACGTTTCTTCCCTCCCTGCCCCCCCGTCTGCCCCTCCCTTGTTTTCCCCTCACCCATTGCTTCTCTCCTCCCTGCCCTTGATTTCCCACACCCCTGCCCTCGTTTCCTATCATCCATGCCCCTCGTTTCCCCCCTTTGTACGTTCAGCCTCTTCCCTCCCTGCCCCTCCCTTCCTCCCCCCCTGCCCTTTGCTCTCCCCTCGTTACGCTCCCTTCTCCCCATCCCTGCTGCCCTCTTACCACCATCAGCCCATCCCCACGACCAGCCCCCCTCCCACCCTTCAATCCCCCCCTCCCTCTCTCTCTCTCTCTCTCTCTCTCTCTCTCTCTCTCTCTCTCTCTTTCTCACACACACACACACGCACACTCCCCTCCCCCACCCCCCCACGTACATCCTCCCATTCTGCCCCTCCCTGCCCCTTTCCCACCCCCTCGCACGCCCCTCACCTCCCACCTCCGTGCAACTGGTTTCCCCCCTATGGTGCCACCCTTGCATCGCTCGCCCCTCTGCTCACCCTCTGCCCGCCCCTTTTCCGTGCCCTCAGTTGGCCCAGCCCCTGCCCGTTGCTGCCCCTCCCCTTGCCCCCTCAACTCCCCTGCCCCCCGTACACCCCAAGTCCCATCCAACCGCCCCCACCCTCCCCCGGCTGCCCGTTTCCGCTCTCCACCCCCGCGACCGTGTGCGGCTTCCAACCGCCCAACGGTGGTGCGCACGGGGCGTTTCTTCGCACGGGCAAGCCTCCCCGGGGGCCCCCCACCCCGCTGGGTCGTTGTTTGGGCAAAAAAAACGAAAATAAAAGAATCGGACGCGCTAAAATCGTCCTTTCTTTTTCCCGCTTGCCCCTCCCCCGGCACGTGCCGAGCAAGGGGCATAAATGGGTACAACACGAGGACTTCCCGGGAGGTCACCCAGCCCAGTACTGCTCTCGCCCACCGGCGCTCTTACCTTGACCTAGCTTACCTAGCCATGGCTGCCTACTAAGGAGCCTCCTAAACCTACTATTTCGAGTTGCTTAAGGACAAAGTGATTGTGATAGTTGTTTATGTTATAGTTATAAGCGTTTCCAACGGTTAGTTTTCCAGTTTCGACTGTCGAGTTCGACGGGGGTCGCGAGTTTCGCGCGCGACCCTCAGGAGTCTCGGAAACGGAACTCGCGGGGTGTTACGGAACCGCTCGTTCGACCCCGCCATCGCGGGAAGGCTGCGGACGCGCTGCAGCCGGTGTAACGGGAGGTGGGGCGTTGACGCGAAGTTCGCCCGCGGAGTGTAACAGCGCGCGCGACTCACAACCACAACTCCGCCAGACACGGTGTTCCCGCCCATCCCCTCTCTCGACACTCTCCCTTATCCCCCCGCTCTTTTCTGCCCACGGCTTTGCTATTCGAAGCGATTAGCTAGCTACCGAGTTTCTTCCCGCGGTTTCCCTCTCTCGAAGTCACTGAGCTTAGCTTCCGCCCGTAGTTAGCATTCTTCCTTCCCTTTCAGTGCGCCCTTCTTTATCGAAACCCTAATTCGAAGAGCCGCGCGTTTTCAAGCACGCTTTCTCGTCGCCTATCATGTTTAGTCACGCACTCGTTTTCCCCGCCCGTTCAATCTAGCCGCGACGTAGACGGAACCGCGCACGGGGCGCTTACCGCCAGGGAAAGGCAGCGCGGAGGGAGGCGAAATTGCTACGTTCGTAGCGATTAAGCAGCCCTCCCCTTGCGCGCCTCCCGAAGCGCGTTTTCTGCCTAGAGCGTTTTAGCCGCCCACGTTTGGCACACAAGCCGCCCCACTCCCCCTTTGCTCACTCCCACCCTGCCATGCCTCGTCGCGCACTCGTGCATGCCACCCACACGTCGTAATCTTACCCCGTCGCCACCCACATATTCACCTTCCTGCTCACACCGCCCCTTTCCCCCTCACACGCGCGCTTTAGCCACCCCCACCTAACCTCTTTCCCTAACGGCGCTTAGCTAGCAGAGGCCGCCCTGTCTCTGGAAACCGTAGGAAATAAGAGGAAACAACTTCAAGGAAAAAAGAAAAGAAAAAGAAATTCATATAAATCGGAAAAAAACCAGGAAAAATCAGAAAGGCAGCTTACACCTTGTTCTCCCAACCCTCCAGGGCCCCATCCAGTCCGCCACCCCCCCATTCTGTTTCATCATACTACACCACACCCTCCCCTTTTGCCCACCAGCATTACCGCCCCTCTCCCCTTATCCCCCACCACGCCCCCAAGCAGGCTTTTCTCCCCCCAGCCCCCCGTCTCCCTGCCCTTAGTACCGCCGCGCTCTGCCCGTGCGTCACCCTCGCCCACTTCATACCACCTCCCCCTTCTCCCCCCCCCCGGCTTCTCCCTATCATCACCCGCATGTTCCCCCACTCCCCTGTCCACAACGTCCCTCCTCCACCCCCCCTCCTGCCTTCCCCACTCCCACTCTGCCCCCCACACCTCTACGAGCCGTACCTCCCCCTCCAGCCTCCCTTTTCCCCCCCAGCTACTTCCGCATCCAGCGTGGGCTGCACCTCTGCATCCTGCCCTGCCAGGCCCTTCGATGACCCAACTGCCGCCACCTGACACCACGCCGCCTTTCCCACCCCCATCCAATCTCTACACCCCCTGCCCCTGCTCCCTGCGCAATCCAGCCACCTACCCCAGCCTCCCTCTACCTCTCCCTAACTCCACACCGCCGTTCCTACCCCCAGCCAGGGTCTACACCCCTTGCTTTTGCTCCCTGTGCTGTGCCGTCCCCAACCTCCGTCCGCCTTTCCGCGGCACCAGACCGCCTCTCCCTCCCCCAGCCAACCTCTGCACCCCCTGTTCCTGCCCCTTGTGCCTTCCAACACCCTACCCCAACCCCCCCCAGTCTCCCCCTTCTCCAACACCCTCCATATTTCCTCCCCCCTGGGGCTCGCCCATCCGCAGTTATCACCCTTCATCAATTCCCCAATTCCCTCTGTCCCCTGTTTCCCGGCCCCGCATCCTATTCTGCATTTACCACAGCGCCTCCTTTCGGTGCCCTCTCGGCCCTCCCACGTTCTCACCCCCCGCCTCCCAACCTTCTCATTACCCGCTACCAGGCTCACGCCAACTCGACTACCCACTACCCTTTGCCCCTTCCTCTCTGTTCCCCACCCTTCCTTCCCCACTTGGCTCCACCTGCCCACCCCCACCTCCCGTGGAATTCTGCCCTGCCCTCCCCACCTCTGGCCCACCACCTGTCCCCACACCCTGCTCACCCACCACTACATCACCCCCGCCCCCCCACCTCCACTACAGCCCGCCAACACTTCCCCTCTCAACCGGCCCCCAGCCCGCCCCCCCCTTGGGCCCCAATCCCCTCCAACTGTCAGGCCCCCTCTACCCTCTCTTCCACCCACTGCGCACCGCTTTCCCCACCCTTTTTCCATTTCCCCAAGCTAACCCCCCGCACCCCGGCCTCTGCCAGGGAGTTCCTTCCCCCTTTGACGCCCTCTTGAGCCAACTCCAGCAACTCACACCGCCACCGCCAGGCATGCTGCCTCTGTAACAATGCCCCAGCACCCCGCGAGTGGGGAAAAGGCAGACCCGGGAGCCCCTCGGCGATCTGGGAGGTCCCGCAGCCGAGCCACCCCCTACTCTCCCACTCCCCCCACTTCAACAGTCAGGAAGAAACAACACACACCTGACCAAGCGAAAACACTCACACAATCTGACCCTAGGGGCCAGAAGCGTACCCTTGAAGAGGATGGAACAGAGGAACGCCAAGCCCCACTGGAGGAAATACACAAGGAGGAGCCAGCACGCTCAAAACCGCGCCCTACCCCCGCGGCCCCATCCCAGCCTACCCCCCCTTCAGGTGACAGCGGGGGCGGCACCCATGCATGCCAAGTGGAGAGATCCTCCAACTCACTCGCTACCTCCCATTCGCAAACCAGATTACTTGTGAAAACACTTAATCCTACTAGCACCCCCAAGCACATAGAAGCGGGAGAGGGCAGAGCCAGGGGGGAACTTGCAGCTAACACTGCACGGGAAGGGGTAAGTGAATTTGTGTGTGAAGGAGCAGCAGAGGCTGCAGAGGATGGGGCAGCAAAGGCTGCACGGGAAGGGGCAATGGGGGTTGTGGGGGAAGGGGCAGCAGAGGTTGCAGAGGAAAGGGCAGCAGAGGCTGCAAGGGAAGGGGCAGCAGCGGCTGCACGGGAAAGGGCGGCAGAGGCTGCACGGGAAGGGGCGGCAGGGACCGTGACTCTGGCCAGGCAAAGGGCAGAGGCCATGGAGACAGGTTTTGCAGGAGTAGGGGCCACGGAACCTGCTGCTGTGTCGGCTGGGGGAACCGCAGCAGAGGAGGCTATAGGGACCGCACCAGGCGAGGCCGCACAGACCACAGCAGGTGTGGCTGCAGGGATCACAACGGGTGAGGCTGCAGGAGGGACCATGGCAGGTGAAGCCGCAGGGAGCGCAGTAGGTGAGGCTGCAGGGAGCGCAGCAGGTGAGGCTGTAGGGAGCGCAGCAGGTGAGGCTGCAGAGAGCGCAGCAGGTGAGGCCGCAGGGAGCGCAGCAGGCGAGGCTGCAGGGAGCGCAGCAGGCGAGGCTGCAGGGAGCGCAGCAGGCGGGGCTGCAGGGGCCGCAGCAGGTGAGGCTGCGGCGGACGCAGCAGGTGAGGCTGCGAGGGCTGCATCATGTAAGGTTGGGCAGACTCTAGCAGGTGAGGCTGCACAGTCTACAGCTGGTGAGGTCGCAGGGACTGCAACAGGTGAGGCCGCAGGGACTGCAGCAGGTGAGGCTGCAGGGACCACAGCGGATGAGGCTGCAGGCGGGACCAGGGCAGGTGAGGCCGCAGGGAGCGCAGCAGGTGAGGCTGAAATAGCCGCAGCAGGTGAGGCTGCAGAGGCCGCAGCATGTGAGGTTGAGCAGATTCTAGCAGGTGAGGCTGCACAGACTGCAGCAGGTGAGGCCGCAGGGACTGCAGCAGGGTGAGGCTGCAGGGACTGCAGCACGTGAGGCTGCAGGGACCGCGGCAGGCAAGGCTGCAGGGATCGCGGCTGGTGAGGCTGAGCAGATTACGGTAGGCGAGGTTTTACAGACTGCAGCAGTCGAGGCTGCAAGGACTGCAGCAGGAGCGACAGAGGCCACAGTGGGGGCCGGTACAGGGGGAGGTGCTACGGGTGCAGCGGGGAAGGGGGTAACGGGGACTGGTGCGAGGGAGAGTGCCGCCCCGGCTGTAGCAAGAGAGGGTACGGCAGGGGCTAGAGTGGGAGAAGGGACAGCAGTGGCCTCAAAGGCAGAAGGTGAGGCTGCAGCTGAAGCAGCAGGAGGGCCATAGCACGGCCAGTAGGGGCGGCAGGGGCCGCAGCAAACGCGGGGAAACACACAGCAGGGCCGGCAGAGACTGCAAAAGGGGCTAGCAGTAAAGCGGCAGCAGGCGGGGTGGGCTCGGGGGACATAGGGGCAACAGGGGAAGGAGAGGTGAGTGTGGTCCCGACCGGGGTGGGCACTGAAGAGGGGGATGTGATAGCGATAGAGGAGGATGAGGGAGAGGATGTGATGCACATTGACGGGCCACTGGCCCAATACCTCACGCTTGACGGTGAGGCCGACCCGGCCCCCCTGCAGCCTCACGTCGAGGTTCCCCCTCTACCCCCCATGCCCGTCCCCATGCTAGCAGAAGGACCGATGGAGGGGCTGGGGGAGACCTTGAGGACAGAGCCGCGCGAGGGAGCCCCCATCCTCACCTCCCGTCCTCCAGCCCACCCACCCCCAGGAGCACCACTTCCCCACCCCCACCCTCAGGTCCCGGTAGTATCCAGGGGGGCAGCCAAGGCCCTGGCCTTCTTGGCGGAGCCGTGCTCCCCGACCCCCACGTTGCTCCATGGCCAGCCCCCCTCTCCGTCCCCAACGCCTGACCCCACGGTTGCAGGCGGTCCACCGGGAGAGCACGCGGGTGCGACAAGAGCAGAGTCACCCGAGGGCACCCCTTCTCTCACCTCTCACCCCTCCCCGCCCCTTCCCTCACTCCTTCCCTCACCCCCAAGGGCAGCACACCTCTGCCCCCACCCTCAGGGGCTCCTTAGAGCACCACGTGGAGCAGCCAGGGCTCTGGCCTTCCTAGAGGAGCCATGCTCCCCGACTCCTACCAACACCCAGCCACCCCCTACCGGCCCACTACCCCCCCCTCCACCAGGCCCCCCCCCCACCCGGTAGTACACACATCTCGGAGGTTGAAGCATCTCTGCGGCCAAATCCCTCTCCCACACGCTACAGGCACCCAAACCACCCGAGTCGCCGCACAGCCCCAACACGCCCACCCAACAGGCTGCCCCCCTCACACCACCCCCCCCCAGGCAGCCGAGACCCACCCGCAAGGGCTTGCGCCCCAGGCTCATGGGAGCGGCGGCACCCGGGTAGAGGGGCCCACAGGAGAGGCCACCACAGAGCCCACACAAATCTCTCTCCCCCCACCGCTTGTACCTCGCTCTAACCTCCACACTGGCCCAGCCCCTCGACCCCCACCTCCAACCCCCTCTCCCGGCCGGGTTCCCCACGAGTGGCCCCGTTGGGCAGCCATCACCCCCCACACACAGCCTGCCCGATCTGTTCCCACGGAGGGGGATGTTTCGAGGAGAGAGGGGATGCACACAGAGCACCCCCCGCCTGGCGAACCACCCATCCTCCCTCCACCCACCCCTTTGGCCCCACAGCCCCCCCTTCCTTCACAAACAGGCGCGGACAACCAGGTTGGCCGCCGGCGGAAGAACAGGGGCAGAGGAGGCAGAGGGTCAGCCCACGTACTCCCCCCTCCCTCCCTCCCCCACCAAGAGCCCCTCCCCACCCCACATCCCGTTGAACCCTTACCAGGCCCTACCTCTACAGCCCGACCACCAAACCTACACTCCCGCCCCGCTCCTGCACCTCCACAGGGCCATGGGAGCGGACCAGCCCACTCACCCCCATTCTGCCCCTCCCGTGCTGTGTCCCCCTCCCAGGTGGCGGCGGCCGCGATCGCTACTGGGATGGAGGCCGTCGGGTTGAGGGATGCGCCCATGGAAGACGCCACCGACTCCCCCTCCCATCCCTCCCACCCCTTCCATGTCGACGACCCCCTACCGCAACCCATGGTGATTGGGGAGGGCCAAGGGGGCCTTCTAGGGCAGGGTCCACACCCGAGCTCCGCTCAGCCAGCACGCCCCACTCCACCCTCTACCCTGCCAGCCCTCCTACTCTCACCTACAGGCAGGCAGGTCTTCGAGACCCCAGAGGAGGTGAGGGCTGGCATTTCAGATTTGCTGGCGATACACCGCCCGAGCAGCTCTCCGGCTGCCCCCACCCTTCCAGTCCCACAGGACCGGACCCGGACGTATGCGGAGGTCACCCGGTCTGTCCCTTCTTTTATCCCCCCCGCCACTCAGCTAGGCGCGTCACTCCCGACCCCAATGGAGACGGACCGGGTTCTGAGGCCGTGTCACTCGCACCTAGATGGGGTGGCGCCTCCCCCCGTTCAGCCCGTGGCGCAGGAGGTCACCAGCAGTAGGGATGAGGCATCCGCCCCTACCGAGACCCCTCCGCCTGGGGTAGCAGAGCCGTCACTTGAACCGCACCCCGCCGAGGGGCAGGAGCACACCACGGCACACACTTCAGGCTCACCTCCACGTCCCCCCTCCCCAGCTTCGACACCGGTACCGGCACGAGGCCCGGCCCTATCCTGTGCGACACCACCTCTATCTTCGCTGACACCCCCCCTGCAGCGGGGCTGGTGAGTCGTCTCCTCCCCTCATCCCAGGCGATCCTCTCGGAGCTCAGGCCGCCCACGGGGTCCCCTCTACAGCCAGTTCCGACGCCACGGCCCCGATTGACCCCGCCGACACGGCGACATCACCCGACCAGGTCGTGAGTTGCCCCACCTGCAGGAGCTCTCTCGCGAACCGACGCGCGCTCCAGCACCACATTCCCTTCTGCCATCCTGCGGACGCGGCTCGCAGGGCGCAGGCTGCCCATGATACCGCCTCGATCATCCCTTCCCTCTCACAGCCCCGTGCGACCGGGATACAGTTCACCGACGCACAGTGGCAGACGCTCGACTCGGTGGACTGGACAGAGTACTTCTCGCCCGAGCGTATCCATACACGCCCTCTCCGACGTGTCCCGGAGAGGGTCCGCGGAGGATATCTCGACGTCCTCAGTGCGATCCTAGTCCGCATTGCCCAGGACCCGGAGGCTGCTGGCCCTACCTTCCTCCTCGCTGCAGCGCCGACTCTTTTCCTTGTTCCAGCGACGCCACCCGACCGCTCGCACACGGCTGCCATTGCAACGCGCATCTCCCGCTTTGGTCGAGGTGAGTGGGCTGAGCTAGTCTCAGATGCACTAGGCCGTCGCACACCCCTTCCTCGGCGCACAGGTCACCGGTCACGCACCGCCACCGATCCCTCTACAGCAGATGAGCGCCGCATTGCACGTTGCCTTCGTCTGGCAGCGTGCAATGAGACCTCACGGGCGTGCGCGGCTCTCGAGTCCGCGGAGGCAGCCCCAGATACACAGGGGACGATACAGCGCCTGCAGTCGAAGCACCCCAACGCGGAGAGGCCGACCCCAGCTTGGCAGTCTGGCTTCCAGGGGTCCCCTCTCGTGCTCTCGGTGGATCACTTACGCCGCGCGATTTTCACAGCTCCGCGGGGCTCTTCGGGAGGACCGTCCGGTTGGGTCGCTGAGCACCTGCGAGACACTTTCCTAGCTTTCCCTCAGAGTCTCCATTTCCTCCTGGCCGTGTACCAGCAGTGGCTCCGAGGCCGTTGCGCTCCAGCTGCGCGCTCCTTGCTAGCGTCTTCCACCCTCGTGGCTCTGGCGAAGTCGAACATGGATGTTCGGCCGATTGCCATCGGCGAGGTTTTGGTCCGCATTCTTTCTCGTGCAGTCTGTCTCCAGCTACGTGACCAGATGGCGAGGGTCTTCTTGGCGTCACAGCAGTTTGGGGTGGGGGTTATGTGCGGGACAGAGGTCGTAGTTAGAGGCGTCCGCCGCGCTCTGGCTGACCACCCAGACTGGGTGGTCCTGCAGCTAGACGTGGCGAATGCCTTTAACTCTTTCCACCGAGACAGGATGTTCCAGGCGCTGCAGGCCAGCCCGGAGTTTCAGTGCCTGATCCCCTTCATCGGCCTCTTCTACGGGACGCCCTCGGATCTCCACTACAGGTCAGGCACGGGAGTGGTCACGATGCACTCGGAGCGGGGCACTCGCCAGGGAGACCCTCTCAGCCCCTTCTTGTACGCTCTGACACAGCGTCTTGCTTTGGAGCCGGTTCTGGTGGAGGGGGATGTCCAGCTCTGGTCGTACGCCGATGACACGTACGTGCTAGGTCCCCCAGACAGGGTGCTGCACCACTTTGCCGAGATCGTGAGGCGCTTGGGCGAGATGGGCCTTGCAGCCCAGCCGCACAAGTGCCTCGTCTACCAGACAGAGTCCTTTCTGTCCAGGGATCTGGAGGCCTTCACGGGCCTAGGGATCGAGGTCGCACGCCGAGGGCTCACCGTGACAGGCGTACCGGTAGGCACCGTTTCGTTCGTGGAGCAGAGTCTCCCGGATCGTCTCGAGAGGATGGGGCGGGTGCTACCTTGGCTTCCGAGGTTGCGCCAGCCCCAGACAGCTGCCCGCCTTCTGTCGGCGTGTGTCAGCACTCGTCCGCAGTACCTGTCGAGGACCGTCCCTCCTTCGCCCGCAGTGATCTCTAGTTTTACACGGTGGGACGCACGCCTGGGAGAGACATTTCAGCAGCTTTTAGCTTCAGGGACCTGGGCTTGTCGCGAGGACGTCCGAGAGGCCGCCCTAGACCAGATCTTCCTCCCCATCCGTCTCGGGGGTTTCGGCATTCGTCGCATGGCACGCATTGCCCCGGTGAGTTTCGTGTGCTCCTGGGTGCAGTGTGCTCCCATTCTCTGTTCTCTCCCTGCGTGTGGCGAGGCGTTTCGGCAGAGCTTCGCTTCAGGTGAGCCAGAGCAGATCGACCGGGCTCTGCAGACGGCGCTAGAGGGTCTCCCACCTGACGTTCTCTCTCTCCTTCCCCCCTGGCCCTCTTGCGCTTCTGCCTCCCCCGATTCCCTTTTTGCAGGAGCGAGCCGTCTTCTGGAGGCGCATGCCTTGGAGGCCGTGCGTGCCCGTCACGCCTCTCCCTTGCACCTTGCCCGTTTGACTTCCCTTCAGGGCGGAGGTGCAGGGGCGTGGTTGACGTCGGTGCCGTACGCTGACCCACTGCGCATCCCGGAGGCGCTGTGGCAGGCGGCTTCATCTTCTCGTCTTGGTCTCCCTATCCCCCAGTTAGCCCTTGCAGGTCAGTGCTCCTGCGGACAGGCGATTGACGACATGACGGTGCCTCATCACGCGGTTCGGTGCCCGCGCTACGGGGTCGCCACTACCATCCACGACACGGTGAAGTACATGCTTCGAGACTTTGCGGTCGAGGCGGGCTTCGCGGTAAAGGTGGAGGACTCTACGCTGTTCACACAGTTGGAGGCGGCTCGAGCGAGACTACTGGGACAGCCAGTGGTGGGAGAGGGGACGCGGGCTGAGGGACCGGGGGAGCAGAGAGGCGAGGCGGGACAGCCGGGTGGCGGGGGACAGTGGGGACAGCACCAGCTGCGGGGTCAGGTGGAGCGAGGGATAGGTGGGCAGAGGGGACGGCAGGGGGAGCAGACGGGCCAGGACGGGGAGGGGAGACGGCACAGGCAGCAGCAGGAGAGCCAGTGGAGGCCGCGGGCCCAGGGCGCCGCGCCTCCAGGTTCGGCCTCGGGGGTGGGGCAGGGGCGGGAGCAGCAGAGAGCGGACGGAGGTACAGGAGGGGCAGCGGGATTGGGAGGGGAGGGCCAGGGAGTGAGAGAGGCAGCAGGGGATGGAGCAGGGGGGTCGGGAGGGTTGGGGGAGGGTAGAGAGGGGGAGGGGAGAGGACAGGTGGATGGAGGAGAGGAGAGGGGGAGAGAGACGATCGGAGAGGAGGCACCAAGGGACCAGACAGGGCAGCAGCCAGCGCAACAGCAGGGACCAGTCGGACGCACAGGCCGTGTAGGCACCGCCTCCCGCATCCCAGACCTCACCTGCCGCGACGTTGGCCAGGGTCTGATGGTTCTTGTGGATGTCTCCATAGCGGATCCACAGCGGGAGGGGAACGTGCAGCTGAGACGGGCGACCCCCACACAGATTGGAGTGGCAGCAGCTAGGCGGGTGCAGGAGAAGCTGCGGCACTGGGGGCCGCACTTAGAGGGGCTGCAGCCGGCACCACACTTTTACGCGTGCGTGGCGGAGACCTTTGGCCTTCTGAGTGAGCCGCTGCGTCAGTTTCTGGGGCTCTGCGCAAAGAGGATAGCACAGCGGAGGAGGGATAGAGGTGGGGGGGATGACGGATCGGCACGGATATTTGAGGCAGGACTCACTACACGCCTCTCCGTTGCACTGCAGCGCGCGCAGGCTCAATGCATGATCCAGCATGCGGTGCGGCAGTTAGGGAGATCCGACGACGGGTGGATGCCCGCACCAGTCCCACTGGGTGCGGGGCAGGGTACTTGGCACCACGTCACAGGGTGCTTCGAGAGTGTGGCTGATATGCAGTATATATATGATGCATATGTGTAAAAAACAATAGTGGCTGTGCTTGAAACGCTGTGCCCGTGCGGTCGTGCGGGTTGCTGCCGTGTTTTGGTCCTTTGGTGCTTCCTCCTCCTTAGTCTCTCTCCCTCTCTCCTCTTCTCTTCCCACCTCCCTCTTTCTGTTCCCTTCTTCTATCCTTCCCTTCTCTTCCTACCACCCTCTTCTTTTCCCTACCACTTCTTCTTACTCCTTCATCCTTCCTTCCTTTCCTTTCTTTCCCCCTTTTCCTACAAAATATATATACCGTCCTCATAGCGATTAGGCTATGTCGAAATTTCCTAGTCTTGGAAAAACCATTATATTCGGCTTGTATTTGCTCTTCCCCTATTAATGAATAACTGCTCTCGCCCACCGGCGCTTAGCTTCGGAGTTCTGATGGGATCCGGCGTAGTAGCCGAGGTATGATCGTACCACGTCAACCTCGTGCCCCGACCGCTACACACCCCTTGCCCGGGTCCCCCCCTTCATAGTCACACCCCCTGCCCCCTCATGCCATCCGCTCCCCCCGCCCCTACCCTCCGCGTGCCCGCTCCCTTGCCGCCTCTTTTGACCCTCCCTGCCCCCCCTCGCCGTTTCCCACCGCCCGCCATTCGCTCCTCCCCGCCCGTGCGCTCCCCTCCTTTACCTTCTCCTCCCCCCTCCCCTCCTCTGCTGCACGCCTCTTCCTTCCCCTCGCCGACCCACTCCACTCCCTGCCCCTCCTCAATCCGCACCCTGCCCCTCGTATCTCGCCCCCCTATGCTTGGTTTCTCCCCTCCCTGCCCCTCGCCGCCTTTCCCCGCTCCCCACCTCCCCCCTCTCCCTGCCCCCCCACTCTCCCCCCCTTGTCCTTGGCTTCCTACCTCCCTGCCTCACCTTTCCCCCCTCCGTGTGCTCAGCTTCTCCCCTCCCTGCCCCTCCCTCCTCCCCGCCCTGCCCCTCATTTTCCGCCCCCCCCACGCCCGGTTTCTCCCCTCCCCGCGCCTCCCTTTCTTTCTCCGTGCCTCTCCTTTGCTCCCTCCCTGCCCCCGCCTGCCCATGCCCCTGTCTTTGGCTTCTCCCCTCCCTGCCCCACGTTTCTTCCCTCCCTGCCCCCCCGTCTGCCCCTCCCTTGTTTTCCCCTCACCCATTGCTTCTCTCCTCCCTGCCCTTGATTTCCCACACCCCTGCCCTCGTTTCCTATCATCCATGCCCCTCGTTTCCCCCCTTTGTACGTTCAGCCTCTTCCCTCCCTGCCCCTCCCTTCCTCCCCCCCTGCCCTTTGCTCTCCCCTCGTTACGCTCCCTTCTCCCCATCCCTGCTGCCCTCTTACCACCATCAGCCCATCCCCACGACCAGCCCCCCTCCCACCCTTCAATCCCCCCCTCCCTCTCTCTCTCTCTCTCTCTCTCTCTCTCTCTCTCTCTCTTTCTCACACACACACACACGCACACTCCCCTCCCCCACCCCCCCACGTACATCCTCCCATTCTGCCCCTCCCTGCCCCTTTCCCACCCCCTCGCACGCCCCTCACCTCCCACCTCCGTGCAACTGGTTTCCCCCCTATGGTGCCACCCTTGCATCGCTCGCCCCTCTGCTCACCCTCTGCCCGCCCCTTTTCCGTGCCCTCAGTTGGCCCAGCCCCTGCCCGTTGCTGCCCCTCCCCTTGCCCCCTCAACTCCCCTGCCCCCCGTACACCCCAAGTCCCATCCAACCGCCCCCACCCTCCCCCGGCTGCCCGTTTCCGCTCTCCACCCCCGCGACCGTGTGCGGCTTCCAACCGCCCAACGGTGGTGCGCACGGGGCGTTTCTTCGCACGGGCAAGCCTCCCCGGGGGCCCCCCACCCCGCTGGGTCGTTGTTTGGGCAAAAAAACGAAAAATAAAAGAATCGGACGCGCTAAAATCGTCCTTTCTTTTTCCCGCTTGCCCCTCCCCCGGCACGTGCCGAGCAAGGGGCATAAATGGGTACAACACGAGGACTTCCCGGGAGGTCACCCAGCCCAGTACTGCTCTCGCCCACCGGCGCTCTTACCTTGACCTAGCTTACCTAGCCATGGCTGCCTACTAAGGAGCCTCCTAAACCTACTATTTCGAGTTGCTTAAGGACAAAGTGATTGTGATAGTTGTTTATGTTATAGTTATAAGCGTTTCCAACGGTTAGTTTTCCAGTTTCGACTGTCGAGTTCGACGGGACGGGGGTCGCGAGTTTCGCGCGCGACCCTCAGGAGTCTCGGAAACGGAACTCGCGGGGTGTTACGGAACCGCTCGTTCGACCCCGCCATCGCGGGAAGGCTGCGGACGCGCTGCAGCCGGTGTAACGGGAGGTGGGGCGTTGACAGCGAAGTTCGCCCGCGGAGTGTAACAGCGCGCGCGACTCACAACCACAACTCCGCCAGACACGGTGTTCCCGCCCATCCCCTCTCTCGACACTCTCCCTTATCCCCCCGCTCTTTTCTGCCCACGGCTTTGCTATTCGAAGCGATTAGCTGCTACCGAGTTTCTTCCCGCGGTTTCCCTCTCTCGAAGTCACTGAGCTTAGCTTCCGCCCGTAGTTAGCATTCTTCCTTCCCTTTCAGTGCGCCCTTCTTTATCGAAACCCTAATTCGAAGAGCCGCGCGTTTTCAAGCACGCTTTCTCGTCGCCTATCATGTTTAGTCACGCACTCGTTTTCCCCGCCCGTTCAATCTAGCCGCGACGTAGACGGAACCGCGCACGGGGCGCTTACCGCCAGGGAAAGGCAGCGCGGAGGGAGGCGAAATTGCTACGTTCGTAGCGATTAAGCAGCCCTCCCCTTGCGCGCCTCCCGAAGCGCGTTTTCTGCCTAGAGCGTTTTAGCCGCCCACGTTTGGCACACAAGCCGCCCCACTCCCCCTTTGCTCACTCCCACCCTGCCATGCCTCGTCGCGCACTCGTGCATGCCACCCACACGTCGTAATCTTACCCCGTCGCCACCCACATATTCACCTTCCTGCTCACACCGCCCCTTTCCCCCTCACACGCGCGCTTTAGCCACCCCCACCTAACCTCTTTCCCTAACGGCGCTTAGCTAGCAGAGGCCGCCCTGTCTCTGGAAACCGTAGGAAATAAGAGGAAACAACTTCAAGGAAAAAAGAAAAGAAAAAGAAATTCATATAAATCGGAAAAAAACAGGAAAAATCAGAAAGGCAGCTTACACCTTGTTCTCCCAACCCTCCAGGGCCCCATCCAGTCCGCCACCCCCCCATTCTGTTTCATCATACTACACCACACCCTCCCCTTTTGCCCACCAGCATTACCGCCCCTCTCCCCTTATCCCCCACCACGCCCCCAAGCAGGCTTTTCTCCCCCCAGCCCCCCGTCTCCCTGCCCTTAGTACCGCCGCGCTCTGCCCGTGCGTCACCCTCGCCCACTTCATACCACCTCCCCCTTCTCCCCCCCCCCGGCTTCTCCCTATCATCACCCGCATGTTCCCCCACTCCCCTGTCCACAACGTCCCTCCTCCACCCCCCCTCCTGCCTTCCCCACTCCCACTCTGCCCCCCACACCTCTACGAGCCGTACCTCCCCCTCCAGCCTCCCTTTTCCCCCCCAGCTACTTCCGCATCCAGCGTGGGCTGCACCTCTGCATCCTGCCCTGCCAGGCCCTTCGAGTGACCCAACTGCCGCCACCTGACACCACGCCGCCTTTCCCACCCCCATCCAATCTCTACACCCCCTGCCCCTGCTCCCTGCGCAATCCAGCCACCTACCCCAGCCTCCCTCTACCTCTCCCTAACTCCACACCGCCGTTCCTACCCCCAGCCAAGGTCTACACCCCTTGCTTTTGCTCCCTGTGCTGTGCCGTCCCCAACCTCCGTCCGCCTTTCCGCGGCACCAGACCGCCTCTCCCTCCCCCAGCCAACCTCTTGCACCCCCTGTTCCTGCCCCTTGTGCCTTCCAACACCCTACCTCCAACCCCCCCCAGTCTCCCCCTTCTCCAACACCCTCCATATTTCCTCCCCCCTGGGGCTCGCCCATCCGCAGTTATCACCCTTCATCAATTCCCCAATTCCCTCTGTCCCCTGTTTCCCGGCCCCGCATCCTATTCTGCATTTACCACAGCGCCTCCTTTCGGTGCCCTCTCGGCCCTCCCACGTTCTCACCCCCCGCCTCCCAACCTTCTCATTACCCGCTACCAGGCTCACGCCAACTCGACTACCCACTACCCTTTGCCCCTTCCTCTCTGTTCCCCACCCTTCCTTCCCCACTTGGCTCCACCTGCCCACCCCCACCTCCCGTGGAATTCTGCCCTGCCCTCCCCACCTCTGGCCCACCACCTGTCCCCACACCCTGCTCACCCACCGCTACATCACCCCCGCCCCCCCACCTCCACTACAGCCCGCCAACACTTCCCCTCTCAACCGGCCCCCAGCCCGCCCCCCCCTTGGGCCCCAATCCCCTCCAACTGTCAGGCCCCCTCTACCCTCTCTTCCACCCACTGCGCACCGCTTTCCCCACCCTTTTTCCATTTCCCCAAGCTAACCCCCCGCACCCCGGCCTCTGCCAGGGAGTTCCTTCCCCCTTTGACGCCCTCTTGAGCCAACTCCAGCAACTCACACCGCCACCGCCAGGCATGCTGCCTCTGTAACAATGCCCCAGCACCCCGCGAGTGGGGAAAAGGCAGACCCGGGAGCCCCTCGGCGATCTGGGAGGTCCCGCAGCCGAGCCACCCCCTACTCTCCCACTCCCCCCACTTCAACAGTCAGGAAGAAACAACACACACCTGACCAAGCGAAAACACTCACACAATCTGACCCTAGGGGCCAGAAGCGTACCCTTGAAGAGGATGGAACAGAGGAACGCCAAGCCCCACTGGAGGAAATACACAAGGAGGAGCCAGCACGCTCAAAACCGCGCCCTACCCCCGCGGCCCCATCCCAGCCTACCCCCCCTTCAGGTGACAGCGGGGGCGGCACCCATGCATGCCAAGTGGAGAGATCCTCCAACTCACTCGCTACCTCCCATTCGCAAACCAGATTACTTGTGAAAACACTTAATCCTACTAGCACCCCCAAGCACATAGAAGCGGGAGAGGGCAGAGCCAGGGGGGAACTTGCAGCTAACACTGCACGGGAAGGGGTAAGTGAATTTGTGTGTGAAGGAGCAGCAGAGGCTGCAGAGGATGGGGCAGCAAAGGCTGCACGGGAAGGGGCAATGGGGGTTGTGGGGGAAGGGGCAGCAGAGGTTGCAGAGGAAAGGGCAGCAGAGGCTGCAAGGGAAGGGGCAGCAGCGGCTGCACGGGAAAGGGCGGCAGAGGCTGCACGGGAAGGGGCGGCAGGGACCGTGACTCTGGCCAGGCAAAGGGCAGAGGCCATGGAGACAGGTTTTGCAGGAGTAGGGGCCACGGAACCTGCTGCTGTGTCGGCTGGGGGAACCGCAGCAGAGGAGGCTATAGGGACCGCACCAGGCGAGGCCGCACAGACCACAGCAGGTGTGGCTGCAGGGATCACAACGGGTGAGGCTGCAGGAGGGACCATGGCAGGTGAAGCCGCAGGGAGCGCAGTAGGTGAGGCTGCAGGGAGCGCAGCAGGTGAGGCTGTAGGGAGCGCAGCAGGTGAGGCTGCAGAGAGCGCAGCAGGTGAGGCCGCAGGGAGCGCAGCAGGCGAGGCTGCAGGGAGCGCAGCAGGCGAGGCTGCAGGGAGCGCAGCAGGCGGGGCTGCAGGGGCCGCAGCAGGTGAGGCTGCGGCGGACGCAGCAGGTGAGGCTGCGAGGGCTGCATCATGTAAGGTTGGGCAGACTCTAGCAGGTGAGGCTGCACAGTCTACAGCTGGTGAGGTCGCAGGGACTGCAACAGGTGAGGCCGCAGGGACTGCAGCAGGTGAGGCTGCAGGGACCACAGCGGATGAGGCTGCAGGCGGGACCAGGGCAGGTGAGGCCGCAGGGAGCGCAGCAGGTGAGGCTGAAATAGCCGCAGCAGGTGAGGCTGCAGAGGCCGCAGCATGTGAGGTTGAGCAGATTCTAGCAGGTGAGGCTGCACAGACTGCAGCAGGTGAGGCCGCAGGGACTGCAGCAGGGTGAGGCTGCAGGGACTGCAGCACGTGAGGCTGCAGGGACCGCGGCAGGCAAGGCTGCAGGGATCGCGGCTGGTGAGGCTGAGCAGATTACGGTAGGCGAGGTTTTACAGACTGCAGCAGTCGAGGCTGCAAGGACTGCAGCAGGAGCGACAGAGGCCACAGTGGGGGCCGGTACAGGGGGAGGTGCTACGGGTGCAGCGGGGAAGGGGGTAACGGGGACTGGTGCGAGGGAGAGTGCCGCCCCGGCTGTAGCAAGAGAGGGTACGGCAGGGGCTAGAGTGGGAGAAGGGGACAGCAGTGGCCTCAAAGGCAGAAGGTGAGGCTGCAGCTGAAGCAGCAGGGAGGGCCATAGCACGGCCAGTAGGGGCGGCAGGGGCCGCAGCAAACGCGGGGAAACACACAGCAGGGCCGGCAGAGACTGCAAAAGGGGCTAGCAGTAAAGCGGCAGCAGGCGGGGTGGGCTCGGGGGACATAGGGGCAACAGGGGAAGGAGAGGTGAGTGTGGTCCCGACCGGGGTGGGCACTGAAGAGGGGGATGTGATAGCGATAGAGGAGGATGAGGGAGAGGATGTGATGCACATTGACGGGCCACTGGCCCAATACCTCACGCTTGACGGTGAGGCCGACCCGGCCCCCCTGCAGCCTCACGTCGAGGTTCCCCCTCTACCCCCCATGCCCGTCCCCATGCTAGCAGAAGGACCGATGGAGGGGCTGGGGGAGACCTTGAGGACAGAGCCGCGCGAGGGAGCCCCCATCCTCACCTCCCGTCCTCCAGCCCACCCACCCCCAGGAGCACCACTTCCCCACCCCCACCCTCAGGTCCCGGTAGTATCCAGGGGGGCAGCCAAGGCCCTGGCCTTCTTGGCGGAGCCGTGCTCCCCGACCCCCACGTTGCTCCATGGCCAGCCCCCCTCTCCGTCCCCAACGCCTGACCCCACGGTTGCAGGCGGTCCACCGGGAGAGCACGCGGGTGCGACAAGAGCAGAGTCACCCGAGGGCACCCCTTCTCTCACCTCTCACCCCTCCCCGCCCCTTCCCTCACTCCTTCCCTCACCCCCAAGGGCAGCACACCTCTGCCCCCACCCTCAGGGGCTCCTTAGAGCACCACGTGGAGCAGCCAGGGCTCTGGCCTTCCTAGAGGAGCCATGCTCCCCGACTCCTACCAACACCCAGCCACCCCCTACCGGCCCACTACCCCCCCCTCCACCAGGCCCCCCCCCCACCCGGTAGTACACACATCTCGGAGGTTGAAGCATCTCTGCGGCCAAATCCCTCTCCCACACGCTACAGGCACCCAAACCACCCGAGTCGCCGCACAGCCCCAACACGCCCACCCAACAGGCTGCCCCCCTCACACCACCCCCCCCAGGCAGCCGAGACCCACCCGCAAGGGCTTGCGCCCCAGGCTCATGGGAGCGGCGGCACCCGGGTAGAGGGGCCCACAGGAGAGGCCACCACAGAGCCCACACAAATCTCTCTCCCCCCACCGCTTGTACCTCGCTCTAACCTCCACACTGGCCCAGCCCCTCGACCCCCACCTCCAACCCCCTCTCCCGGCCGGGTTCCCCACGAGTGGCCCCGTTGGGCAGCCATCACCCCCCACACACAGCCTGCCCGATCTGTTCCCACGGAGGGGGATGTTTCGAGGAGAGAGGGGATGCACACAGAGCACCCCCCGCCTGGCGAACCACCCATCCTCCCTCCACCCACCCCTTTGGCCCCACAGCCCCCCCTTCCTTCACAAACAGGCGCGGACAACCAGGTTGGCCGCCGGCGGAAGAACAGGGGCAGAGGAGGCAGAGGGTCAGCCCACGTACTCCCCCCTCCCTCCCTCCCCCACCCAAGAGCCCCTCCCCACCCCACATCCCGTTGAACCCTTACCAGGCCCTACCTCTACAGCCCGACCACCAAACCTACACTCCCGCCCCGCTCCTGCACCTCCACAGGGCCATGGGAGCGGACCAGCCCACTCACCCCCATTCTGCCCCTCCCGTGCTGTGTCCCCCTCCCAGGTGGCGGCGGCCGCGATCGCTACTGGGATGGAGGCCGTCGGGTTGAGGGATGCGCCCATGGAAGACGCCACCGACTCCCCCTCCCATCCCTCCCACCCCTTCCATGTCGACGACCCCCTACCGCAACCCATGGTGATTGGGGAGGGCCAAGGGGGCCTTCTAGGGCAGGGTCCACACCCGAGCTCCGCTCAGCCAGCACGCCCCACTCCACCCTCTACCCTGCCAGCCCTCCTACTCTCACCTACAGGCAGGCAGGTCTTCGAGACCCCAGAGGAGGTGAGGGCTGGCATTTCAGATTTGCTGGCGATACACCGCCCGAGCAGCTCTCCGGCTGCCCCCACCCTTCCAGTCCCACAGGACCGGACCCGGACGTATGCGGAGGTCACCCGGTCTGTCCCTTCTTTTATCCCCCCCGCCACTCAGCCAGGCGCGTCACTCCCGACCCCAATGGAGACGGACCGGGTTCTGAGGCCGTGTCACGCGCACCTAGACGGGGTGGCGCCTCCCCCCGTTCAGCCCGTGGCGCAGGAGGTCACCAGCAGTAGGGATGAGGCATCCGCCCCTACCGAGACCCCTCCGCCTGGGGTAGCAGAGCCGTCACTTGAACCGCACCCCGCCGAGGGGCAGGAGCACACCACGGCACACACTTCAGGCTCACCTCCACGTCCCCCCTCCCCAGCTTCGACACCGGTACCGGCACGAGGCCCGGCCCTATCCTGTGCGACACCACCTCTATCTTCGCTGACACCCCCCCCGCGCGGGGCTGGTGAGTCGTCTCCTCCCCTCATCCCAGGCGATCCTCTCGGAGCTCAGGCCGCCCACGGGGTCCCCTCTACAGCCAGTTCCGACGCCACGGCCCCGATTGACCCCGCCGACACGGCGACATCACCCGACCAGGTCGTGAGTTGCCCCACCTGCAGGAGCTCTCTCGCGAACCGACGCGCGCTCCAGCACCACATTCCCTTCTGCCATCCTGCGGACGCGGCTCGCAGGGCGCAGGCTGCCCATGATACCGCCTCGATCATCCCTTCCCTCTCACAGCCCCGTGCGACCGGGATACAGTTCACCGACGCACAGTGGCAGACGCTCGACTCGGTGGACTGGACAGAGTACTTCTCGCCCGAGCGTATCCATGCACGCCCTCTCCGACGTGTCCCGGAGAGGGTCCGCGGAGGATATCTCGACGTCCTCAGTGCGATCCTAGTCCGCATTGCCCAGGACCCGGAGGCTGCTGGCCCTACCTTCCTCCTCGCTGCAGCGCCGACTCTTTTCCTTGTTCCAGCGACGCCACCCGACCGCTCGCACACGGCTGCCATTGCAACGCGCATCTCCCGCTTTGGTCGAGGTGAGTGGGCTGAGCTAGTCTCAGATGCACTAGGCCGTCGCACACCCCTTCCTCGGCGCACAGGTCACCGGTCACGCACCGCCACCGATCCCTCTACAGCAGATGAGCGCCGCATTGCACGTTGCCTTCGTCTGGCAGCGTGCAATGAGACCTCACGGGCGTGCGCGGCTCTCGAGTCCGCGGAGGCAGCCCCAGATACACAGGGGACGATACAGCGCCTGCAGTCGAAGCACCCCAACGCGGAGAGGCCGACCCCAGCTTGGCAGTCTGGCTTCCAGGGGTCCCCTCTCGTGCTCTCGGTGGATCACTTACGCCGCGCGATTTTCACAGCTCCGCGGGGCTCTTCGGGAGGACCGTCCGGTTGGGTCGCTGAGCACCTGCGAGACACTTTCCTAGCTTTCCCTCAGAGTCTCCATTTCCTCCTGGCCGTGTACCAGCAGTGGCTCCGAGGCCGTTGCGCTCCAGCTGCGCGCTCCTTGCTAGCGTCTTCCACCCTCGTGGCTCTGGCGAAGTCGAACATGGATGTTCGGCCGATTGCCATCGGCGAGGTTTTGGTCCGCATTCTTTCTCGTGCAGTCTGTCTCCAGCTACGTGACCAGATGGCGAGGGTCTTCTTGGCGTCACAGCAGTTTGGGGTGGGGGTTACGTGCGGGACAGAGGTCGTAGTTAGAGGCGTCCGCCGCGCTCTGGCTGACCACCCAGACTGGGTGGTCCTGCAGCTAGACGTGGCGAATGCCTTTAACTCTTTCCACCGAGACAGGATGTTCCAGGCGCTGCAGGCCAGCCCGGAGTTTCAGTGTCCTGATCCCCTTCATCGGCCTCTTCTACGGGACGCCCTCGGATCTCCACTACAGGTCAGGCACGGGAGTGGTCACGATGCACTCGGAGCGGGGCACTCGCCAGGGAGACCCTCTCAGCCCCTTCTTGTACGCTCTGACACAGCGTCTTGCTTTGGAGCCGGTTCTGGTGGAGGGGGATGTCCAGCTCTGGTCGTACGCCGATGACACGTACGTGCTAGGTCCCCCAGACAGGGTGCTGCACCACTTTGCCGAGATCGTGAGGCGCTTGGGCGAGATGGGCCTTGCAGCCCAGCCGCACAAGTGCCTCGTCTACCAGACAGAGTCCTTTCTGTCCAGGGATCTGGAGGCCTTCACGGGCCTAGGGATCGAGGTCGCACGCCGAGGGCTCACCGTGACAGGCGTACCGGTAGGCACCGTTTCGTTCGTGGAGCAGAGTCTCCCGGATCGTCTCGAGAGGATGGGGCGGGTGCTACCTTGGCTTCCGAGGTTGCGCCAGCCCCAGACAGCTGCCCGCCTTCTGTCGGCGTGTGTCAGCACTCGTCCGCAGTACCTGTCGAGGACCGTCCCTCCTTCGCCCGCAGTGATCTCTAGTTTTACACGGTGGGACGCACGCCTGGGAGAGACATTTCAGCAGCTTTTAGCTTCAGGGACCTGGGCTTGTCGCGAGGACGTCCGAGAGGCCGCCCTAGACCAGATCTTCCTCCCCATCCGTCTCGGGGGTTTCGGCATTCGTCGCATGGCACGCATTGCCCCGGTGAGTTTCGTGTGCTCCTGGGTGCAGTGTGCTCCCATTCTCTGTTCTCTCCCTGCGTGTGGCGAGGCGTTTCGGCAGAGCTTCGCTTCAGGTGAGCCAGAGCAGATCGACCGGGCTCTGCAGACGGCGCTAGAGGGTCTCCCACCTGACGTTCTCTCTCTCCTTCCCCCCTGGCCCTCTTGCGCTTCTGCCTCCCCCGATTCCCTTTTTGCAGGAGCGAGCCGTCTTCTGGAGGCGCATGCCTTGGAGGCCGTGCGTGCCCGTCACGCCTCTCCCTTGCACCTTGCCCGTTTGACTTCCCTTCAGGGCGGAGGTGCAGGGGCGTGGTTGACGTCGGTGCCGTACGCTGACCCACTGCGCATCCCGGAGGCGCTGTGGCAGGCGGCTTCATCTTCTCGTCTTGGTCTCCCTATCCCCCAGTTAGCCCTTGCAGGTCAGTGCTCCTGCGGACAGGCGATTGACGACATGACGGTGCCTCATCACGCGGTTCGGTGCCCGCGCTACGGGGTCGCCACTACCATCCACGACACGGTGAAGTACATGCTTCGAGACTTTGCGGTCGAGGCGGGCTTCGCGGTAAAGGTGGAGGACTCTACGCTGTTCACACAGTTGGAGGCGGCTCGAGCGAGACTACTGGGACAGCCAGTGGTGGGAGAGGGGACGCGGGCTGAGGGACCGGGGGAGCAGAGAGGCGAGGCGGGACAGCCGGGTGGCGGGGGACAGTGGGGACAGCACCAGCTGCGGGGTCAGGTGGAGCGAGGGATAGGTGGGCAGAGGGGACGGCAGGGGGAGCAGACGGGCCAGGACGGGGAGGGGAGACGGCACAGGCAGCAGCAGGAGAGCCAGTGGAGGCCGCGGGCCCAGGGCGCCGCGCCTCCAGGTTCGGCCTCGGGGGTGGGGCAGGGGCGGGAGCAGCAGAGAGCGGACGGAGGTACAGGAGGGGCAGCGGGATTGGGAGGGGAGGGCCAGGGAGTGAGAGAGGCAGCAGGGGATGGAGCAGGGGGGTCGGGAGGGTTGGGGGAGGGTAGAGAGGGGGAGGGGAGAGGACAGGTGGATGGAGGAGAGGAGAGGGGGAGAGAGACGATCGGAGAGGAGGGCACCAAGGGACCAGACAGGGCAGCAGCCAGCGCAACAGCAGGGACCAGTCGGACGCACAGGCCGTGTAGGCACCGCCTCCCGCATCCCAGACCTCACCTGCCGCGACGTTGGCCAGGGTCTGATGGTTCTTGTGGATGTCTCCATAGCGGATCCACAGCGGGAGGGGAACGTGCAGCTGAGACGGGCGACCCCCACACAGATTGGAGTGGCAGCAGCTAGGCGGGTGCAGGAGAAGCTGCGGCACTGGGGGCCGCACTTAGAGGGGCTGCAGCCGGCACCACACTTTTACGCGTGCGTGGCGGAGACCTTTGGCCTTCTGAGTGAGCCGCTGCGTCAGTTTCTGGGGCTCTGCGCAAAGAGGATAGCACAGCGGAGGAGGGATAGAGGTGGGGGGGATGACGGATCGGCACGGATATTTGAGGCAGGACTCACTACACGCCTCTCCGTTGCACTGCAGCGCGCGCAGGCTCAATGCATGATCCAGCATGCGGTGCGGCAGTTAGGGAGATCCGACGACGGGTGGATGCCCGCACCAGTCCCACTGGGTGCGGGGCAGGGTACTTGGCACCACGTCACAGGGTGCTTCGAGAGTGTGGCTGATATGCAGTATATATATGATGCATATGTGTAAAAAACAATAGTGGCTGTGCTTGAAACGCTGTGCCCGTGCGGTCGTGCGGGTTGCTGCCGTGTTTTGGTCCTTTGGTGCTTCCTCCTCCTTAGTCTCTCTCCCTCTCTCCTCTTCTCTTCCCACCTCCCTCTTTCTGTTCCCTTCTTCTATCCTTCCCTTCTCTTCCTACCACCCTCTTCCTTTTCCCTACCACTTCTTCTTACTCCTTCATCCTTCCTTCCTTTCCTTTCTTTCCCCCTTTTCCTACAAAATATATATACCGTCCTCATAGCGATTAGGCTATGTCGAAATTTCCTAGTCTTGGAAAAACCATTATATTCGGCTTGTATTTGCTCTTCCCCTATTAATGAATAACTGCTCTCGCCCACCGGCGCTTAGCTTCGGAGTTCTGATGGGATCCGGCGTAGTAGCCGAGGTATGATCGTACCACGTCAACCTCGTGCCCCGACCGCTACACACCCCTTGCCCGGGTCCCCCCCTTCATAGTCACACCCCCTGCCCCCTCATGCCATCCGCTCCCCCCGCCCCTACCCTCCGCGTGCCCGCTCCCTTGCCGCCTCTTTTGACCCTCCCTGCCCCCCCTCGCCGTTTCCCACCGCCCGCCATTCGCTCCTCCCCGCCCGTGCGCTCCCCTCCTTTACCTTCTCCTCCCCCCTCCCCTCCTCTGCTGCACGCCTCTTCCTTCCCCTCGCCGACCCACTCCACTCCCTGCCCCTCCTCAATCCGCACCCTGCCCCTCGTATCTCGCCCCCCTATGCTTGGTTTCTCCCCTCCCTGCCCCTCGCCGCCTTTCCCCGCTCCCCACCTCCCCCCTCTCCCTGCCCCCCCACTCTCCCCCCCTTGTCCTTGGCTTCCTACCTCCCTGCCTCACCTTTCCCCCCTCCGTGTGCTCAGCTTCTCCCCTCCCTGCCCCTCCCTCCTCCCCGCCCTGCCCCTCATTTTCCGCCCCCCCCCACGCCCGGTTTCTCCCCTCCCCGCGCCTCCCTTTCTTTCTCCGTGCCTCTCCTTTGCTCCCTCCCTGCCCCCGCCTGCCCATGCCCCTGTCTTTGGCTTCTCCCCTCCCTGCCCCACGTTTCTTCCCTCCCTGCCCCCCCGTCTGCCCCTCCCTTGTTTTCCCCTCACCCATTGCTTCTCTCCTCCCTGCCCTTGATTTCCCACACCCCTGCCCTCGTTTCCTATCATCCATGCCCCTCGTTTCCCCCCTTTGTACGTTCAGCCTCTTCCCTCCCTGCCCCTCCCTTCCTCCCCCCCTGCCCTTTGCTCTCCCCTCGTTACGCTCCCTTCTCCCCATCCCTGCTGCCCTCTTACCACCATCAGCCCATCCCCACGACCAGCCCCCCTCCCACCCTTCAATCCCCCCCTCCCTCTCTCTCTCTCTCTCTCTCTCTCTCTCTCTCTCTCTTTCTCACACACACACACGCACACTCCCCTCCCCCACCCCCCCCACGTACATCCTCCCATTCTGCCCCTCCCTGCCCCTTTCCCACCCCCTCGCACGCCCCTCACCTCCCACCTCCGTGCAACTGGTTTCCCCCCTATGGTGCCACCCTTGCATCGCTCGCCCCTCTGCTCACCCTCTGCCCGCCCCTTTTCCGTGCCCTCAGTTGGCCCAGCCCCTGCCCGTTGCTGCCCCTCCCCTTGCCCCCTCAACTCCCCTGCCCCCCGTACACCCCAAGTCCCATCCAACCGCCCCCACCCTCCCCCGGCTGCCCGTTTCCGCTCTCCACCCCCGCGACCGTGTGCGGCTTCCAACCGCCCAACGGTGGTGCGCACGGGGCGTTTCTTCGCATGGGCAAGCCTCCCCGGGGGCCCCCCACCCCGCTGGGTCGTTGTTTGGGCAAAAAAACGAAAATAAAAGAATCGGACGCGCTAAAATCGTCCTTTCTTTTTCCCGCTTGCCCCTCCCCCGGCACGTGCCGAGCAAGGGGCATAAATGGGTACAACACGAGGACTTCCCGGGAGGTCACCCAGCCCAGTACTGCTCTCGCCCACCGGCGCTCTTACCTTGACCTAGCTTACCTAGCCATGGCTGCCTACTAAGGAGCCTCCTAAACCTACTATTTCGAGTTGCTTAAGGACAAAGTGATTGTGATAGTTGTTTATGTTATAGTTATAAGCGTTTCCAACGGTTAGTTTTCCTAGTTTCGACTGTCGAGTTCGACGGGACGGGGGTCGCGAGTTTCGCGCGCGACCCTCAGGAGTCTCGGAAACGGAACTCGCGGGGTGTTACGGAACCGCTCGTTCGACCCCGCCATCGCGGGAAGGCTGCGGACGCGCTGCAGCCGGTGTAACGGGAGGTGGGGCGTTGACGCGAAGTTCGCCCGCGGAGTGTAACAGCGCGCGCGACTCACAACCACAACTCCGCCAGACACGGTGTTCCCGCCCATCCCCTCTCTCGACACTCTCCCTTATCCCCCCGCTCTTTTCTGCCCACGGCTTTGCTATTCGAAGCGATTAGCTGCTACCGAGTTTCTTCCCGCGGTTTCCCTCTCTCGAAGTCACTGAGCTTAGCTTCCGCCCGTAGTTAGCATTCTTCCTTCCCTTTCAGTGCGCCCTTCTTTATCGAAACCCTAATTCGAAGAGCCGCGCGTTTTCAAGCACGCTTTCTCGTCGCCTATCATGTTTAGTCACGCACTCGTTTTCCCCGCCCGTTCAATCTAGCCGCGACGTAGACGGAACCGCGCACGGGGCGCTTACCGCCAGGGAAAGGCAGCGCGGAGGGAGGCGAAATTGCTACGTTCGTAGCGATTAAGCAGCCCTCCCCTTGCGCGCCTCCCGAAGCGCGTTTTCTGCCTAGAGCGTTTTAGCCGCCCACGTTTGGCACACAAGCCGCCCCACTCCCCCTTTGCTCACTCCCACCCTGCCATGCCTCGTCGCGCACTCGTGCATGCCACCCACACGTCGTAATCTTACCCCGTCGCCACCCACATATTCACCTTCCTGCTCACACCGCCCCTTTCCCCCTCACACGCGCGCTTTAGCCACCCCGCCACCTAACCTCTTTCCCTAACGGCGCTTAGCTAGCAGAGGCCGCCCTGTCTCTGGAAACCGTAGGAAATAAGAGGAAACAACTTCAAGGAAAAAGAAAAGAAAAAGAAATTCATATAAATCGGAAAAAAACCAGGAAAAATCAGAAAGGCAGCTTACACCTTGTTCTCCCAACCCTCCAGGGCCCCATCCAGTCCGCCACCCCCCCATTCTGTTTCATCATACTACACCACACCCTCCCCTTTTGCCCACCAGCATTACCGCCCCTCTCCCCTTATCCCCCACCACGCCCCCAAGCAGGCTTTTCTCCCCCCAGCCCCCCGTCTCCCTGCCCTTAGTACCGCCGCGCTCTGCCCGTGCGTCACCCTCGCCCACTTCATACCACCTCCCCCTTCTCCCCCCCCCGGCTTCTCCCTATCATCACCCGCATGTTCCCCCACTCCCCTGTCCACAACGTCCCTCCTCCACCCCCCCTCCTGCCTTCCCCACTCCCACTCTGCCCCCCACACCTCTACGAGCCGTACCTCCCCCTCCAGCCTCCCTTTTCCCCCCCAGCTACTTCCGCATCCAGCGTGGGCTGCACCTCTGCATCCTGCCCTGCCAGGCCCTTCGATGACCCAACTGCCGCCACCTGACACCACGCCGCCTTTCCCACCCCCATCCAATCTCTACACCCCCTGCCCCTGCTCCCTGCGCAATCCAGCCACCTACCCCAGCCTCCCTCTACCTCTCCCTAACTCCACACCGCCGTTCCTACCCCCAGCCAGGGTCTACACCCCTTGCTTTTGCTCCCTGTGCTGTGCCGTCCCCAACCTCCGTCCGCCTTTCCGCGGCACCAGACCGCCTCTCCCTCCCCCAGCCAACCTCTGCACCCCCTGTTCCTGCCCCTTGTGCCTTCCAACACCCTACCCCAACCCCCCCCAGTCTCCCCCTTCTCCAACACCCTCCATATTTCCTCCCCCCTGGGGCTCGCCCATCCGCAGTTATCACCCTTCATCAATTCCCCAATTCCCTCTGTCCCCTGTTTCCCGGCCCCGCATCCTATTCTGCATTTACCACAGCGCCTCCTTTCGGTGCCCTCTCGGCCCTCCCACGTTCTCACCCCCCGCCTCCCAACCTTCTCATTACCCGCTACCAGGCTCACGCCAACTCGACTACCCACTACCCTTTGCCCCTTCCTCTCTGTTCCCCACCCTTCCTTCCCCACTTGGCTCCACCTGCCCACCCCCACCTCCCGTGGAATTCTGCCCTGCCCTCCCCACCTCTGGCCCACCACCTGTCCCCACACCCTGCTCACCCACCGCTACATCACCCCCGCCCCCCCACCTCCACTACAGCCCGCCAACACTTCCCCTCTCAACCGGCCCCCAGCCCGCCCCCCCCCTTGGGCCCCAATCCCCTCCAACTGTCAGGCCCCCTCTACCCTCTCTTCCACCCACTGCGCACCGCTTTCCCCACCCTTTTTCCATTTCCCCAAGCTAACCCCCCGCACCCCGGCCTCTGCCAGGGAGTTCCTTCCCCCTTTGACGCCCTCTTGAGCCAACTCCAGCAACTCACACCGCCACCGCCAGGCATGCTGCCTCTGTAACAATGCCCCAGCACCCCGCGAGTGGGGAAAAGGCAGACCCGGGAGCCCCTCGGCGATCTGGGAGGTCCCGCAGCCGAGCCACCCCCTACTCTCCCACTCCCCCCACTTCAACAGTCAGGAAGAAACAACACACACCTGACCAAGCGAAAACACTCACACAATCTGACCCTAGGGGCCAGAAGCGTACCCTTGAAGAGGATGGAACAGAGGAACGCCAAGCCCCACTGGAGGAAATATACAAGGAGGAGCCAGCACGCTCAAAACCGCGCCCTACCCCCGCGGCCCCATCCCAGCCTACCCCCCCTTCAGGTGACAGCGGGGGCGGCACCCATGCATGCCAAGTGGAGAGATCCTCCAACTCACTCGCTACCTCCCATTCGCAAACCAGATTACTTGTGAAAACACTTAATCCTACTAGCACCCCCAAGCACATAGAAGCGGGAGAGGGCAGAGCCAGGGGGGAACTTGCAGCTAACACTGCACGGGAAGGGGTAAGTGAATGTGTGTGCGAAGGAGCAGCAGAGGCTGCAGAGGATGGGGCAGCAAAGGCTGCACGGGAAGGGGCAATGGGGGTTGTGGGGGAAGGGGCAGCAGAGGTTGCAGAGGAAAGGGCAGCAGAGGCTGCAAGGGAAGGGGCAGCAGCGGCTGCACGGGAAAGGGCGGCAGAGGCTGCACGGGAAGGGGCGGCAGGGACCGTGACTCTGGCCAGGCAAAGGGCAGAGGCCATGGAGACAGGTTTTGCAGGAGTAGGGGCCACGGAACCTGCTGCTGTGTCGGCTGGGGGAACCGCAGCAGAGGAGGCTATAGGGACCGCACCAGGCGAGGCCGCACAGACCACAGCAGGTGTGGCTGCAGGGATCACAACGGGTGAGGCTGCAGGAGAGACCATGGCAGGTGAAGCCGCAGGGAGCGCAGTAGGTGAGGCTGCAGGGAGCGCAGCAGGTGAGGCTGTAGGGAGCGCAGCAGGTGAGGCTGCAGAGAGCGCAGCAGGTGAGGCCGCAGGGAGCGCAGCAGGCGAGGCTGCAGGGAGCGCAGCAGGCGAGGCTGCAGGGAGCGCAGCAGGCGGGGCTGCAGGGGCCGCAGCAGGTGAGGCTGCGGCGGACGCAGCAGGTGAGGCTGCGAGGGCTGCATCATGTAAGGTTGGACAGACTCTAGCAGGTGAGGCTGCACAGTCTACAGCTGGTGAGGTCGCAGGGACTGCAACAGGTGAGGCCGCAGGGACTGCAGCAGGTGAGGCTGCAGGGACCACAGCGGATGAGGCTGCAGGCGGGACCAGGGCAGGTGAGGCCGCAGGGAGCGCAGCAGGTGAGGCTGAAATAGCCGCAGCAGGTGAGGCTGCAGAGGCCGCAGCATGTGAGGTTGAGCAGATTCTAGCAGGTGAGGCTGCACAGACTGCAGCAGGTGAGGCCGCAGGGACTGCAGCAGGTGAGGCTGCAGGGACTGCAGCACGTGAGGCTGCAGGGACCGCGGCAGGCAAGGCTGCAGGGATCGCGGCTGGTGAGGCTGAGCAGATTACGGTAGGCGAGGTTTTACAGACTGCAGCAGTCGAGGCTACAAGGACTGCAGCAGGAGCGACAGAGGCCACAGTGGGGGCCGGTACAGGGGGAGGTGCTACGGGTGCAGCGGGGAAGGGGGTAACGGGGACTGGTGCGAGGGAGAGTGCCGCCCCGGCTGTAGCAAGAGAGGGTACGGCAGGGGCTAGAGTGGGAGAAGGGACAGCAGTGGCCTCAAAGGCAGAAGGTGAGGCTGCAGCTGAAGCAGCAGGAGGGCCATAGCACGGCCAGTAGGGGCGGCAGGGGCCGCAGCAAACGCGGGGAAACACACTAGCAGGGCCGGCAGAGACTGCAAAAGGGGCTAGCAGTAAAGCGGCAGCAGGCGGGGTGGGCTCGGGGGACATAGGGGCAACAGGGGAAGGAGAGGTGAGTGTGGTCCCGACCGGGGTGGGCACTGAAGAGGGGGATGTGATAGCGATAGAGGAGGATGAGGGAGAGGATGTGATGCACATTGACGGGCCACTGGCCCAATACCTCACGCTTGACGGTGAGGCCGACCCGGCCCCCCTGCAGCCTCACGTCGAGGTTCCCCCTCTACCCCCCATGCCCGTCCCCATGCTAGCAGAAGGACCGATGGAGGGGCTGGGGGAGACCTTGAGGACAGAGCCGCGCGAGGGAGCCCCCATCCTCACCTCCCGTCCTCCAGCCCACCCACCCCCAGGAGCACCACTTCCCCACCCCCACCCTCAGGTCCCGGTAGTATCCAGGGGGGCAGCCAAGGCCCTGGCCTTCTTGGCGGAGCCGTGCTCCCCGACCCCCACGTTGCTCCATGGCCAGCCCCCCTCTCCGTCCCCAACGCCTGACCCCACGGTTGCAGGCGGTCCACCGGGAGAGCACGCGGGTGCGACAAGAGCAGAGTCCACCCGAGGGCACCCCTTCTCTCACCTCTCACCCCTCCCCGCCCCTTCCCTCACTCCTTCCCTCACCCCCAAGGGCAGCACACCTCTGCCCCCACCCTCAGGGGCTCCTTAGAGCACCACGTGGAGCAGCCAGGGCTCTGGCCTTCCTAGAGGAGCCATGCTCCCCGACTCCTACCAACACCCAGCCACCCCCTACCGGCCCACTACCCCCCCCTCCACCAGGCCCCCCCCCCACCCGGTAGTACACACATCTCGGAGGTTGAAGCATCTCTGCGGCCAAATCCCTCTCCCACACGCTACAGGCACCCAAACCACCCGAGTCGCCGCACAGCCCCAACACGCCCACCCAACAGGCTGCCCCCCTCACACCACCCCCCCCAGGCAGCCGAGACCCACCCGCAAGGGCTTGCGCCCCAGGCTCATGGGAGCGGCGGCACCCGGGTAGAGGGGCCCACAGGAGAGGCCACCACAGAGCCCACACAAATCTCTCTCCCCCCACCGCTTGTACCTCGCTCTAACCTCCACACTGGCCCAGCCCCTCGACCCCCACCTCCAACCCCCTCTCCCGGCCGGGTTCCCCACGAGTGGCCCCGTTGGGCAGCCATCACCCCCCACACACAGCCTTGCCCGATCTGTTCCCACGGAGGGGGATGTTTCGAGGAGAGAGGGGATGCACACAGAGCACCCCCCGCCTGGCGAACCACCCATCCTCCCTCCACCCACCCCTTTGGCCCCACAGCCCCCCCTTCCTTCACAAACAGGCGCAGGACAACCAGGTTGGCCGCCGGCGGAAGAACAGGGCAGAGGAGGCAGAGGGTCAGCCCACGTACTCCCCCCTCCCTCCCTCCCCCACCAAGAGCCCCTCCCCACCCCACATCCCGTTGAACCCTTACCAGGCCCTACCTCTACAGCCCGACCACCAAACCTACACTCCCGCCCCGCTCCTGCACCTCCACAGGGCCATGGGAGCGGACCAGCCCACTCACCCCCATTCTGCCCCTCCCGTGCTGTGTCCCCCTCCCAGGTGGCGGCGGCCGCGATCGCTACTGGGATGGAGGCCGTCGGGTTGAGGGATGCGCCCATGGAAGACGCCACCGACTCCCCCTCCCATCCCTCCCACCCCTTCCATGTCGACGACCCCCTACCGCAACCCATGGTGATTAGGGAGGGCCAAGGGGGCCTTCTAGGGCAGGGTCCACACCCGAGCTCCGCTCAGCCAGCACGCCCCACTCCACCCTCTACCCTGCCAGCCCTCCTACTCTCACCTACAGGCAGGCAGGTCTTCGAGACCCCAGAGGAGGTGAGGGCTGGCATTTCAGATTTGCTGGCGATACACCGCCCGAGCAGCTCTCCGGCTGCCCCCACCCTTCCAGTCCCACAGGACCGGACCCGGACGTATGCGGAGGTCACCCGGTCTGTCCCTTCTTTTATCCCCCCCGCCACTCAGCTAGGCGCGTCACTCCCGACCCCAATGGAGACGGACCGGGTTCTGAGGCCGTGTCACTCGCACCTAGATGGGGTGGCGCCTCCCCCCGTTCAGCCCCGTGGCGCAGGAGGTCACCAGCAGTAGGGATGAGGCATCCGCCCCTACCGAGACCCCTCCGCCTGGGGTAGCAGAGCCGTCACTTGAACCGCACCCCGCCGAGGGGCAGGAGCACACCACGGCACACACTTCAGGCTCACCTCCACGTCCCCCCTCCCCAGCTTCGACACCGGTACCGGCACGAGGCCCGGCCCTATCCTGTGCGACACCACCTCTATCTTCGCTGACACCCCCCCTGCGCGGGGCTGGTGAGTCGTCTCCTCCCCTCATCCCAGGCGATCCTCTCGGAGCTCAGGCGCCCACCGGGGTCCCCTCTACAGCCAGTTCCGACGCCACGGCCCCGATTGACCCCGCCGACACGGCGACATCACCCGACCAGGTCGTGAGTTGCCCCACCTGCAGGCGCTCTCTCGCGAACCGACGCGCGCTCCAGCACCACATTCCCTTCTGCCATCCTGCGGACGCGGCTCGCAGGGGCGCAGGCTGCCCAGGACACCGCCTCGATCATCCCTTCCCTCTCACAGCCCCGTGCGAACATGGATGCAGTTCACCGACGCACAGTGGCAGACGCTCGACTCGGTGGACTGGACAGAGTACTTCTCGCCCGAGCGTATCCATACACGACCCTCTCCGACGTGTCCCGGAGAGGGTCCCGCGGAGGATATCTCGACGTCCTCAGTGCGATCCTAGTCCGCATGCCCAGGACCCGGAGGCTGCTGGCCTCCTACCTTCCTCCTCGCTGCAGCGCCGACTCTTTTCCTGTTCCAGCGACGCCACCCGACCGCTCGCACACGGCTGCCATTGCAGCGCGCATCTCCCGCTTTGGTCGAGGTGAGTGGGCTGAGCTAGTCTCAGATGCACTAGGCCGTCGCACACCCCTTCCTCGGCGCACAGGTCACCGGTCACGCACCGCCACCGATCCCTCTACAGCAGATGAGCGCCGCATTGCACGTTGCCTTCGTCTGGCAGCGTGCAATGAGACCTCACGGGCCGTGCGCGGCTCTCGAGTCCGCGGAGGCAGCCCCAGATACACAGGGGACGATACAGCGCCTGCAGTCGAAGCACCCCAACGCGGAGAGGCCGACCCCAGCTTGGCATGTCTGGCTTCCAGGGGTCCCCTCTCGTGCTCTCGGTGGATCACTTACGCCGCGCGATTTTCACAGCTCCGCGGGGCTCTTCGGGAGGACCGTCCGGTTGGGTCGCTGAGCACCTGCGAGACACTTTCCTAGCTTTCCCTCAGAGTCTCCATTTCCTCCTGGCCGTGTTCCAGCAGTGGCTCCGAGGCCGTTGCGCTCCAGCTCGCGCTCCTTGCTAGCGTCTTCCACCCTCGTGGCTCTGGCGAAGTCGAACATGGATGTTCGGCGATTGCCATCGGCGAGGTTTTGGTCCGCATTCTTTCTCGTGCAGTCTATCTCCAGCTACGTGACCAGATGGCGAGGGTCTTCTTGGCGTCACAGCAGTTTGGGGTGGGGGTTATGTGCGGGACAGAGGTCGTAGCTGTTAG